GAAGAGACAGGTAATATGCAAGATGTGACAAATTAGGTAAGATAAACGAGCCTAGTCTGTTCGTGGGTAGGCTTCGCCAAAGAATCTGGTTGTCGAATCGGGATAGGTGAACAAGAAAACAAAAATAGATGGTATATAATGAGTTCCGACATGTGTGATTGAGTTGTCGTCAGCAGGACTTTGCCCACTGGGGTAAAATCTCGTTACTTTTCTATTTCTCCAGTCGCCATCAAAGCGATCCTCGTAGAAGAGGCTTTGCCATTGAGTGGCCATGCCCTGCTCCTCGTTTGCGAGAACAGTGACCTCGACACCAATGTTGAACTGAGCGGCAGTAGAGAGCTCGATAAGAGTCATGTTGAACGAAACATCACCGTCAATGTCGATGACCAGAGAGTCGGGCTTGGCAACCTTGACACCAATGGCAGCAGGCAGGCCATGGTGCCAAGACCTCCAGAGCTGATCATGGTGCGAGGGTGTCAAGTGACTGGAATAAAACCTGGTACACCAAAGCCTCATCCAGCTTTAAATTTCGACACAATATCAAAATAATTAACCTAATGATAAACACAATATCAAGCTGAATATTATAGAATAATTTATCATCTTCCTAATATTATCTCTAGTATTATGAATAGGAAAACGAGGGCTCTAGCTTGCACGAAAACAGCTGAGGTGTGCCATGTTTTATCTCAGTCACTTTGGGTATCTCCATCGGAAGTGCTGGGCCGTCCACATCTGGCACTGACCAACACCAATAGTGATGTAGGTCTTGTCCTTCCGATCGGCAGTCACGTTGCTGAGCTCCTCGATCAGGATCTGGGGCTTGATCAATTCACCACGCTCCGGCTCGACTCGTCGACTCATCTCCCCTCCAACTCATCATCCCCTCCGGAGATCGCTCTCCCACTACATGGCTGGGCTACACATGTAAGACGGTCGTAAATTGCCCGAACGCCTGACTGCCAGCCACTGCCGCAACAAATATGCACGCGGATCTACATAGGGGCACGACTCGACCTGACTGCGCAAGATCTCCGTCTGCTTATTCCCCCCTCCCCCTCGCTTCCCACTGCACATGGAGACCGAAACCGTGACATTGCATACTACATAAATGCACCCAGCTTCAGCCGGTCAATATTGCCTCATACTCCCCTCCCCTCGCAGCACGTAGCCGAGACCGCACGGGTGATACACATATGCATCGTGCATCGCCGTCGACATCGCGTCCAGCACAGCCAGAGCAAACACGCAAGGTCCGGCATGTGAAAATTCACCTTCAGCTTTTTTCTGCCCACCAACTTTTACAGTAACGGTTTATGTGCTGGTCTCCAACGGTCCAGAATCTAGTAATCTCCCAAGATGGATGTGGGTGCATGGCCAGAGCCCGATGTAATGTAATCACTGTCGACTCCTGCATATATCGTCCAAAACAGTCAAAGCAGAGATGCATCCTTTGCAGACTATATGCAATGGCACATCAATCGCTTGCTCAGGGGAAATTAGGAGCTGTTCCATATCGAGTAACAATCATCCTGCATGTCACTCTGCCTGTCTACCTGCATCAATCCCCCAGGATCCAGCCATCATTTCATCCCTTCCGAGCGGTGAAGCCTGTCTGCTGCCTTAATCGTATATCCATCACATGCCATAACCAAGCATCGCGTCCTCTCTCTGAATGGGAACCTCTTCTTCGCAACCTTGGCAGTGTAACATCACAACCTGAAAGCGGATCATGTAGAGGTGGAAATTATCCCCGGTTCCTTGATATGTTTTCGACTTTCGTATCTTCGTATATTAGATAAATTGGCCTCTATCTAGGACAGAAAATTTTCGAGCTCCTTCCAGGGAGTAGCCACTCAGGTTAGACAAAGGAAAAAAAACTTCGTGAATGACCAAGGCATTCGGTCGCTTCTTAAATGCAGACAAAAATGGGGGAACACCAACCCATGGATCCCGATACAAACAAGCAGATTTCACAAAATGGGGGGGAATAATCTTTCATCCTAAAACCTTGTCTACTCCTCTTCTTTCGCTCAAAAGAAACGTTGTGATGCTTTTCCTTCCGCCGCTCTTCCTCAACTCTCATAAGCCCATGAAACGCAAGTGGTATCTTATTTGGCTCCGAACCAATCCAAAAGAAAAGAAATAAAAGCAGATGCATCTGCCAAAAAAAGACACCATGATGAAATGTAAGGGGAAATCAAAAGGGGAATAAAAAATTCAAACGTAAGCCCCAGACGGCAAGGAGAGTGTAAAAGGGGAGGTATATAGCCGTGTAACCATTTCAAGTGGATGCAGTAAGCAGAAAGCAGTTATGTGCAACAGCCAATGTTGCAGTCGTCTTTCCCTTGTCCTTCTATTAGTTGTAGGTGATTAAAAATGATAATGTATGAAAACGGTCGTAATTCGCTCGCTCGCTGAGAAATGTAAAAGGGGTCATTCACGACCAGCACCAGGCGTTTTATTACATGCGTCCCTCAGTGTCATCAAAGAAGAACGTCATCGGGTCAGCCTCTTGCTGAACCGGGGCGTAGTGGTGGTGCTGGTCTTGGAAGCCGCCCTGCGGCTCGGTACCCATTCGCATGGGCAGGGCCCATTCTTCGGGTGGTACAGAGGTGGGAGGGTGGGTGTGGTAGGTTGGGATCATCTCGCCATAGGCATTGGGGACATTGTCCAGAGTGTGATTCATGGGGAGTGGCTCGCCATGGCCAATGACTGGCGACTCAGGCCTGTAGTGCCCACTAGTGGGAGTGGAAGGCTTCTTCTTGGGACGCATCTCTTCCATGCTTGTGACCCGGCCCCAGGAGGCAGGTCGCTTGTGCGGGACGGGGGTGGCGGGGCGAGCCATGGAGTTCTGGTTCTGGGGTGTGCAACCAAACATCATCTCGCTGTACCTGCTTCCGGCGTCTTGAGGGTGCGGCAGAGGCTGCTCGTACGGAGAATAGACAATGCCCTCAGGCATGGATGTGGGTGCTTGAGCCCCGTAGTAGTAGGCCTGGTCGTCAGGGCCGTGATGCATGGGAACGGAGAACATGGAGGGAGAGCCGGAGACTGGGGTCTCGCATCCGCTGTGAACACTGACCGGGGTGTTCATCTGCTTAGGCAGTTGAGGAGCCTGGTCGGGAGCAAACTTGGGTCCGTCGAACGAGGTACGGCCCTGAGGGATGGGAATCGGTGTGCCAGGGTGAGGAGCAGAAGCGATGTCGGATCCAGACATCGGGGTGTCAGATCCAGCAATGGAAGCAGGTGTCGAAGGTCGGGGGGTTTTGCTGGTTCTACCTTTGCGGCTTGGCAGTCGGAAGAGAGACTGGGGGCGGGACTTGGAAGAGTTGAGAATTGGCATGTTGCTGTCCTCCTCCTTGGCTGGTACATCCGCGGTCTCGAGGAGGCACTGGCTGCGAAATGGAAGCTGGAAGTGCATATCAATCTCGCTGGGAGGAGGCGTCCTGGAAGAGGTGAAAGGAGCGGTACCGAGAATGTAAGCAAGTCGGACGAGTTGGGAGATATCATCTCCAAGATGGCGGCACTCGAGCATGCGCTTCAGGTCACCAGAAGATCGAGGACGCCAAGATAGCTGCTGTCTCTTCTCCTTGGGCCAGATGCACGACTTCCAGATAGACTTGACACGGTTTTGGCGCATCAAGTTGTGGATCTGAACACGGTACTCCCACTCGTTGACATCGTAATCATCCTCAAAGTGCTTTGCAATGTGCTCAAAGTACTTGTCACGGCTAGCTGCAGCATCGTCCTTGGTGGTGGCCTCGAAGATGCGGTCCTTGCAGTTGCTAAATCCGCATGAAAAGGCCAACTGAGGGCAAAGCTCTGTCCGTGCAGCGCTGCTGGGAAGGGCCTCCATCCTGTGTGTCTCCTTGGCATGGGTGCTGTAGGCGCGTTCGGTGGCAAATGACAGATGGCAAGCCTTAGATCGGCAAATCCAGACGACGTCGGTACCGTGGAAGTTGTTGAGATGCTTCTTGAAATCGCTCTTGCGGCCGAATTCGACCAGGTTGCGGTCAAGGAAGCACATGGGGCACTGATACTTCTTGAGGGTGGAAATGTGGAGGCGAGGGGAGGCGGGCATAGCAACGTTGGCATCCTGGGCATGGGGAGACGTGATGGCGCAAGGCGACTCGAGCCACGACTGTCGCTGCTCAGAGAGGTAAGGCTTTCCCAGTTCTGAATCGTGAATAGAAGCGACATCACCGGCCAATTCTCCACGGGTGGACTGTGTTCGAATGGATGCGGCATCCGAGGCCGTCCACACCAAAGAAGGTGCGCTGGTGTTGCTGAGCAGGGTCGTGGCCGACACTGTCGAGTTTCGTGCTGTGCTATAGATTAGTCGCGCGAATCCAAGGCTCTCCGATCGTCAGAATCCCACATACATGATTCACCAAGCCCAGTCAGGGCGCACATCAGGCTTGAAAGGCCATACTTGTGGACGAGTCCCAGCAGCAGGCGCTGGTCATCATCGCCAATTGGCCGGATGACAGAATCATCGGCTATGGGCGCGTTCATAGAGAACATGCCGGGCTCCTTGCTGCCTCGATGGTGACGAGACGGGATGACAAGAAAATCCGAAGTTGTGTCAGGTTTGCGGACGCTATCGTCGAGAAGTACGACTTCAGACGGAGTATCCTTGCTCGAGAGATCGATCTAGATCCGGGTGGCGGGAGATGATGAGACTTGTCTCGAGTTTTTTCTTTTTCGTTGAGCGTGAGAGCGTCGTTGGGTTCTATAGGTAGGAATGTTGACGTATGGTTGTATTAGTTTCGTATGTTGCCCACCGACCCGCGAGTGAGTGCGTATCGTTTCGTGAAGCCGTTATAAGGAGTCGAGGTCCTAGTTGCTATTGCAAGAGAGTAAAGAAAGAGTGACAAGACCCGGTTTCAGGTACGAGGGACGGCGGGAGGGGGGGGGATAATAAGAACGAAGGGATGTGAGGCCTTCTAGAAGGCTTCAAGGAAGGGGTTCATGCTTGATAAATGACTGGGAGCACGACGATGCTGGTGCGCAGCAACCCCATCGTCGATGGCCCCATTCTGGGCGAGCGACGCCAAGGCAAGGATGTCATGACCATGTCCTTGACCATGGCATTGGCCCTACCAGGGAGGGCCCACCCGGTCAAGGTGGTGTTGAATGAGAGAGGGACGGTCAAGGGGTGGGCCAGGAGGTGGGGAGGAAGCTGGGCCGTATCCCAAACGGACTTTTTTTGGTGGAGAGGCAAGTCCGGCCTAAGGTAGGTACGTACCTGCTAATGTAGGGCATCTGGCCCCCTGGCCGCTGCCCCATGCAGCGTGCTTGGCTCTCCATAATCTTGACAAGCCAGGTACAGGTGTAGGTACAGGTACAGGTGACTGGTGCAGGAAGGTGCAGGAGAGGTGCCGCAGGTACGTACCGCGCCGCGCACCAGACTAGCAGCGGAGTAGAGTGGAACCAGGATAAAGGACTAAAGCTGCGGCCCTGGAGCCTTGTCCCTGTACCTGATCCATAGGGTGGATGGGCAGCCAGTAGCGTGAGAGGCATCTCGTTTCAGGAAATCAGACACGCTGCCAATGCTCACTGCAGTCTGCATCATGTGTGTGTGTGAGTGTGCGTGCGAGTGTGTGCACCACTAGGCCGCGTTACTCGTGGACAACCGTGGTCTGTACCATGTACGCCCTGAGGTACCGCCTGTATTCTGCTCCCTGCAGCCCCGCGCCTAACGCACCAGTGCATTTACGCCGTAGGAGTGCAGGCTGCTGCTGCATGCCGGCCTCTGGTGCTGCTGCTAGTCGCGCAGGTCTGGTGTGAATGGCCCATTGGGCTCGCAAGCTAGCCACAACTGTGGTTTGGTAGATGCTGTAACTGCGGCGGCATTGATGCAGGAGGTGGTCGACGACAAGGAGGAGCCAGTCAGCCCCGGGACCGAGCGAGGAAACAGACACATCCAGAACCCATTGCCATAAACAAGGTACTTTGGCAGAGTGCAACGTCGGCAGAGATCACCGCAGCCACCTCACCTGAACTCAGTTGCGACGTGCCATCGACAGCACACTTACCTCATTGTGCCGATATATAAGATGATAATTGGGCGGGCTGATGGCTCGCAACTCCCGAAATAGCAACACCCAAGGCATCTGTGACCAACAGCCGCAAGTCATCATGGTTGCGAATACCTGCAGATCAGGTAGCCTGCCGAGCCTGGCCGTCGCGAGTCCAGTCCAGTTCAGTGTTGCTGCAGCATGGGAATCAAACGACGTGCAAGCCACACAGCCCAGCCCGCAGATTACCGTGGTGGCCCTATCCCAGGATAGGCAACGCACACGCCGGTCGCAGAGAGCGCCGTCCACACATAATTACCAATTCCCAGTGTGTGTACGGACAATCAAAGCCATACTCTAATTGCGACGACACGTCTCGCTGCCGACAGCCAGCCACGGCGGCCGAGCGCCCAGACGATCCCAACTTTCTACAAGCCTTCTAGAATAGCGCCCTCGCTAGTAATGAGGGCTATCACCACCTACCCAACTCCCACTAGTGGTGTTAGCCCGGAGGTAGCAGATACGACCTAAGAGCTGCCACTATGACAGCATGTAACTCTCGCAGGCTCTCGCTCTCTCTCCATCTCTCCACTTGTGCCGTCCCGAATCCACCCATGATGTGCGTGAAATGAGCAGTTTCCACAGCTGCCCATTCTCGATGTGCTCAAAGGGAAAATCTTATTGGCATCGTGTGACCAAAGCAGAAAGCTCTCGCCGCCTGCTGAGCCCCAAACAAGTCAAGCGTGAAAAGGGGCAGACCAGAACAGCAAGAGTCTAAAAATGCACATACCCCACCCACCACATGCCCTGTTTCAACCGAAATGAGAATGGAGTGTCCCCTGCTGGTGATTGCTTTTTTTGCTTTTTCCTCTTCTGCTGGCTTGGCTCGGCCTTTTTTTTTTTTTTTTTTTTTCTCTCGATCTTGTGCTCGGGTTTTAGCTTGGTTTCGACATTTTGGTGGGGACCAAAATACTTTGTTCTCCTGGTGCTCGTCTTCCAAGTCGAGGGTGAACAGTTTCACAAACACCCGGCGACAGATAGATTAGATGCCCTCAGATAGCAGATAAAGTAGCATATGCATGTACTAATGGCCATGTCGTATTCTGTTTGGCGTAATATCTCTCAAGGCAACGCTACCTGAACTTAACCATCCCCCCATTACTTCTGACCGCCTCAGAATACCACCACACACACACACTTACACGCACACCAACTATTGTCAACCGACCCAGAGCACTTGCTGTCCTGGAAATGAGCCATGAGATCATGCGCATCCCCCACCCTTGCTCGTCTTGTTCTAGCGCTCTTCTACCGTTGTTAGCACGGAGCCGTAGCCACAGACAATTTACACAGTTCGGAGCCATCGTCTTGACATGGCACCATTTCTACCCCGGCGGGGGGCCGCCCTCAGCCCAACGTACGTATCTCGACACGGCCGGAAGCCGGGGACAGGCAGCATGAGGGAGGCCGTGACAGGAAAGGCCGGGCCAAGGCAGCACAGATAGCACCAAGATGGGTCGCAATGAACGATTGATGACGGTCCTAGCTGCCTACCCGCCCATCTCGCTATCCGTGCTGCTCGTCCACTAGTTCGCAGCCCGAGATAGACACGTACACCATGTCCCCTGTCTCCAGTTCGATATTGTGCCTGTCCCGAAGATGCCGCTGCAGGTGGCATGCCATTGCCAATGCACAGAGCATCATCCATCCAATCTTGGGAATTCTTGGCCTTGATAGACCCCGAGGCAGCCTTGGCCATCCATGGTCATGGCACACCCAAATGCACACCGATGTGAGGCTGGGAAATATTGCCCATGGTTCATGCTGGGCTTACCCGGCTGTTCTTGGTCTGCGTTGCATTTGCTATTGTCGGCAATGGTGCCCTTGCCCGTGTCTGCAGCAACGGTCCATCCTACGATGCACACGCATGCATTCGTGCGACTGTGCAACCGACCAACAGGTGCTTCCGCAGATAGAAACCATCCTTCCCTCCCCTCCCCTCCCCTCCTTGGCTCTCTGTGGATGTGTTTCCTGCGACTCTCCCCGCAACCTCCACTCCCCGGTGCTACCCTGAACACGCGCGTCTGTCCAGTCCCCCTCCTTGCCTTTAGCTCTATTGTTTCACAATTTAAACTAGCAGCCAACCAGCAGCGGCCGCCAGGGGTCCTTATTCAGTGCCCCTGCTGATTGGCCGCGCCCCTGTCGCCTGTCTCCGCCACGTGGCTGTCGACGGATCGCCCATCTGCTGCTGCTCAGGTACGTACCTTTCGTAATGAGATAACGCAGCTCCTCTCCTCCTTCAACACAATGGCCCACGCAACGGCCAGAGCAAGCCGTCGAAGCAGCACCACGCCGCTCAGACTCTCCGGTGCAATTAATATAGCCTCCCCACCAAGCCAAAAGAATATTCGGGCCAGAGCCTCAACTCAAAATGAAACGGCCCAAGGTAGCCTAGACGGCGCTAGGTTCGAGCCTCGAACCTGTCCTGACCTCATCCCACCGACCTAAGTTCTGGTTCCAGTTCGGCCGGCGTCCCGAGTGAAGCCTGTGCCGTGGAGAACGCGGGATAGAGATACACGCACGGGATAACTACATACAGAACAGTGCGCGCTGCCGTCCAATCCGGACCAAGCCCAATGTCCCAGTCTGCCCAAGCTAGACCTTCATCCGCTTGCCTCAACCTGGCCCGTGTCCCGATTCTGGCTTCCACCCCAAGGTCAACAAGGTAGGCATCCCCCGGCTAATGAATTTCATCATGGCCATGCTGACTCGCGTTCACCTTGGGCGCCTATCTCGCTCAAGGGGAGAGCCTGTATGAAGTCGTCGATCATCTTTCCGTCCCCCCGGAAGGTCATCCTTTCTTTCCCCGGGTGCCAGTGCCCAAGCATCCATATCAATCAATCATACGCCATCCCTATGTCAACAGGAACAATCTGACACAGGCAATTACCGGGATGTCACTACTGTTGTATTCAATTCACGAAGGAAGCGACTCTGCAGATCAGTCTATCCGTCCCCGTAGCAGCAAACGGCTCACGCACAGAGCACCAGCAGCCCAGGGTATCCGTGTGAGTGTGTGTGCCTGGGTCTGGGCTTTTCTGGTCCGTCATGGGGCAAAGTCAACCCGACAATCCACCCGCATGAAATGTGGCTGGCTTGGCTCAATGATGACTTCACCTACTCGGCCGAACGCCATAGCCTCCAGTCCAAGACCAGCACCACCACAATAGTACGAGCCCGCCCAATCTTTATCACCGAATCTCCACCTCAGCCACCAACCCGATCGCGAAATATGACCTGATTTTCAACAAACATGATCTCCGCCCACCTCCACTTACCTAGCGGTGGGCCGCTGGCACCATCCAGGTAGCCGGCAGCCATGGAAAAGAACAAATCTAGCGCTTCTAGGACTCCCTGGCCACAAACATGCGCCTGGCCCAGCCACTACGGTTGCTAGAGGCCTAGCCATTTACGAGTATTGCCCACCTGCACCCAAAAATAGGTCAATTTAGGGCCCCCACCTCGCCTAGTTTCCCATCTTAACACCAGAAAGGGAGACCGAAAGGCGGAACCAATATCTGAAACGGCCACACATCCCTCCGATCTCCCCTGGGGATCATACGGGCGTTTCCGCAGGAAGAGGAAAAAAACCCACAGACATCTGTGCAGCAAGCACGAGAGCTCCAGCCCACTCGTTTGTGAAATTTCACGCAAAGGGTAGTCCGAGGCATCTGCTCGTGCTCACGCCCACCTTAGCTGCATTCTCAAGAGTCGATGGTTTCACAACTCGGCCCTTACGATCCGTCACAAGAGACGTGAAACAAGCTGCTCTCTCATCCTCTTGGACAAGCATCATGGGTGGGCTCACCGTCTCCAGCACCCGCTCAAGATCTACACAGGGCCTCTTTTGCGAGACCCCAGTGAACATCCTGCTCGTGTAAAAATATCATCCACGGCACGGAACCCCAAATGTGACCAGATTAACTCACGATCAGAGCAGCGGCAGCTGCTTATGGTCAGTGCCATGTAATCTTTCATTACGAGCTGCACTGGGCCCTGCACGTATTGTCAGTACCCCTGACAAACAACACGTAAACGACAACAACAATCAATCCATCGCCCAATTGCTCACTCAATAATCTCCCTCATCTAGGCCTTTCTAGATCGCCGCCTCATTCATCAAACTCCACGGGGTTTAGGCTCTTGTCAGATTAGTAGCGTCTCCCTTAGCCAGACAAGCCCAATTCAAAAGGCACCAAAGGGAAAGAAAGGGACGGGTCTTGAGGCTGAGAAGAAGCCCAGAATCCTCTCCCATCCCGGCCCGCCTGGGTCTGCTCAAAGGATCACGGACGTGCTCACCTCTCAGCTTGACAGCGGTACCCTCGCATCCCTCTCGCCATCCCCCCTCCCTCCTTCACGGGAGGCGAGCCGGGCACCAACAACCAACAGCCCGCTGTCAACTCTGTTGGTCCCTCACACACACACACACACACCACGAAATCCTCCCACGTAGACATGACAATAATAAACCAACCCAGCGGTAAACAACGCCAGCGCGAAATTGAGCTAGCCCTACAGCCCAGAACCATCCCCTAAGGCCACAGCACGGGGCGAGCACTAGACAGTTCGCTGAGGGACCTGTTTATTACTTTCCCCATCCGTTCGTGCACGTTCTCAATATTTCATCCCATCAGAATTAAAAACTAAAAAAGCCGTTGGAGAAAAATTTCAAAGCCTAGCCCCTCGCCTTCTTCCCACGCCGCCGCCTCATCCTGTAGGGGGCAGCCCTGTCAGACCGCTGGCTCTGTGTAAACGGAAAGATGAACCCGCCGGGCTGGGCGCCAGGGACTCTAATCAATAAGCGCCCCGAGGTATATCCAGCCGTTGTTGAAGGATTCCCGGCTATTATAAGACTTGGGGATTTTTTTTCCTTCTTGTTCTCCCTCTCCAGTAAGCGCCGGCTTCCAAACCGAGAGAGAGCGTCCGTGCGGCTCAATCAATCAGACGAAACCGAAATGAGAGAGACAGACAAAATGCTCGTTCTGGTAAAGTGCAGCTGCCAAATTGGCAATCACGTCGTTGTAACGGGGCGTGAAGGGGGGCGTGTGCGATTGTGGGAGAGATGATTTTTTCTTTTTCCTATTTCTCTCATTGCGTTGGCTCTTTTTTTTTTCTTTCCTTTTGGCCATGTGCCGAGCTTTTTTTTTTTTCTTCAACGTTTCTTAAATTAGCTCTCGGTTCCGAAGCTGTCAGAAACAAACTTGACACACAACCGTCACAACTGTCACGCGCCCAGCCACAGCCAGTCGGGAAATTGTTCCTGTGGCACACACACTCTCTCTCTCCCACACACATGTCGAGTCAGCAAGGTTCGTGTTCAAGGATTGGATGGGGGGGGACAAAATGAGTAATCTGAATGAAGCCTTTTGAAACAGTCATCGTCTCTCTGATATATTGTGAAACCATGTCTCATCCTATGGACAAATCAGATTCGCAGTACGTTCCCGAATCTGAGGAGAAGCCCTTCCTGAATCCTTGCCTTGTCGTAATTGTTACCCACACGATCCCAGATGCTCCATATATGTTTATATCATAAAAGTAAGATCCCAAATCAAACACCGGTCCCGAGAAAGTATCCCTGAAAATCGCCCCCCCTCCCCCCTCATAATGAATCAAAAGCAAGACCTTTTCCATACCGGGATCTTAACCGAGATGGCCATGCGTAAGGGTAATCATCACCATGGACTCCCCCTAACCATCGCTATTGGGATCGTGATCAAGTGCTCGATCCGCCCCCCTCATCCGCGCCAATCTGCTGTCCGTCTTCAGATCCGTCCAGCAGAGGGCCGCCTCAAACGTGCCGCACAATGCCGAAAAAAGAAAAGAAAGCGTCTCGTCTCGACGCCGGGGTATAATATTATCTAATTCCACAGGATCCCAACGAGAACCCAACATCAACACAAAAGAAACACAAATAGGACAAGATGTAGCTTCGTACACGTAACACCTTTTTTTGAGTAGAGGAGAGCGGAGAAAATCCAAAACGTGAAGTGCCGCCAAACATGCAGTCCAGACACGACCCGGCATTGGATCCAGTGCAAGCAACTCCTCGAATCTTATGATGGTAAAGATACTGCAATCGAATGTGGTCTCAATGACTCAATATCTCGATTGTGCACATATCGGCCACGGGAAGTCACTCCCCGATAAATGGCAGTTCATTTTTCTCCGTAAACCAGCAAGACGCCTCCATGAAGGTCTAATATCCGTTTCGAACGTCGTAGTCCCCATACTGGCTACGCTGGTCGAATTTCATGCTGCCAGGACCACAACCATCTGGAGGTGCGTGATTACCCATTTCAGAGGGAGCGTACGGATCTGGGTATTCCGGCTGTTGGTTCATGAGAATTGACGCATCTGCCATGTCGATATCTGTGCTCGAAGTACTGCTGGCCATGGAGTGAAGACTTCTCAAATCATCCGCGATGATGCCGTTATCTTGGGGCGGCGGCATCATAGAAAATTGTTGCTGCTGCCGTTGCTGGATTGCTTGCTGGTGAGCTTGTGAGTTATAGTAGGAATTTGGGTCGAACATCGCAGCGTTCTGATGCCCCCGGAATGCTTGCTGTGAGCTGCTGGGTAGAGTGTGCACTGGAGGCCGAGCAGATCGGCCAGACCTCACCGGCGCCCGGGGAGGAAAGACTCGACGCTGCGAGGCATAGTAGTTGGCCAGTTGAGGGTTTGGGGGAGTGCCCCTGGATATCCTGAACTGGAACTGGTCCGGATCAGACATCGTGGACTGTGATGAACGAGGGCGAAGTGTATGTCCAGGAATCTGCATGCGGCATTCATCCTTGACCAAGGTTGGGAAAGTATCCTGAAAGTCCCTCTCGCTAGCTGGGTCGGTTCCCAGAGCAATTGCATATTGTATCAGGAGGTTCAAATCGCCCAGGTGCCTTGTCTCGAGACGTTTCCTGAGAACACCACTTGTTTGAGGCTCCCAGAACAGTTTGTTCCTTTCCTCCTCTGGCCAGGCACATCGCACCCATGTCTCGACGACGCCGGTTTGCCGCAATAGATTACGCATTCTCGTTGAATATGTCCACTCCCCGCTGGTGGCTCCGTCGTCGAGATGCTTTACCACATGTGCGACGTACTCCTTAAATGTACCCTCCGCATCTTCGTCTGCCGAGGCCTCAAATACCTCTGTGCATGTCTCAAACCCACATGCGAAGACGGTCTGAGGACATAACGTAACTTTGGAATCGTCCAGATTTGTCCGTGATCCGCCATGCGCCTGCTTGAGATGCGTCTTGTACACCGTCTGCCAGTCAAAGACCATATTACACCCACGGTGTCGGCAGAACCACTGGGCATTGGTATTATGGAAGTCCTCCATGTGACGCTTCAGATCGTTCTTTCGAGTGCAAGTCTTCTGCACGCCTTCCTCTTTACAGAAACCGCACATGAACATCCCGCGCTGCTTTGCTCCTCCATTGGTCGCTGCAACCCCAGCTTCACTCGATCGGGCTGCCCCACCATCGACGGAATCCACATGCGACGTTTGAGCCGATAGGTTTGACACTTGGGTGGGTGAATGCGGCAATGGCTGCGGTAGAGATGTGCTGCTACCGTTGTGCTTTCGGCTCAGGAACTTGGCGGTTCGGGCGGAAACGTTGGAGATGATGCTCCCTCGTGTCGATGACGTATCGGAGAAGGCGCGCGTGCTGCTGGCCGAATCGAAAATACTTGATGAGTCTTCGGATTTGACTGAAGAATATGTGCTATTAGTGAGGATTGATGCGCCATCGTGACCTGCAGTGACGACGCCGATGTTAGCGGAGGGAGCCCGCTTTGGAACATGAAGTGGTGACATATGTGATGGGAGGGATCAAGGCCGACAATATTCGGCAAGCCACGGAAAGATAGGGCGAGGGGTGAAGGCGAGAGCAAGTCACCGGTCGATATGCTCTACCACTACCAGGCGGCGCCAGGAAGAGCCCAGGGTAAGGGAGATGCGAGAAAACAGATGCTGCACATACCTGCTAATATCGGTGACGAATTCTCCTCCTGCATGAGCCGCGTCAGGCCTTCTGCGGTGTACTTCTTCATGAGATGCCGGAGCATCTGCCGGTCCAGCTGGTCATCGTGCGACGCAGAGGCGGGCGGCGAGGAAGATGAGATGGAAGAGGTGTCAGACGGCGGTGGTTGTTGTTGCGGCGGCTGCCGCTGCGGTTGCGCCGGGCCTGAGCTCCGATGATGCTGTGGAACGGCGCCATCGTGGGCAGCGTCGGCCCAGGGATCGGGCGCCAACGTATTGAGAGACATTCAAAGTACCGTCGGGGCGGAATGGTCACGACGTTTGGGATGGGAGATGGCCCAATTGACGGGCTTCTTGCGGGTGGCTGCCTCACAGAGGGAGGGCCTGCGTAATACCAGTGGATGGATTGGTGTAAACGGACGGACGTGCGTAGCTGCCTGACAATGGCGGCCGTTTCCACAGGTCCGGTAAGCTTTGGAGCTGGCCAAAGCCTCCGCGGAGAGGGAAGCTGGGAGAAATAATGCGGCAAAGGGAAGAATAGAAGAAAAGAAAGAGAAAGGAATGAAAGGTTTGAAACAACGGCAGGCGGCGTGCAAGGCTGGCAGAGAGGTGTGGCTTTTTTCTGGGCGAAGGGGGGGCTCGATTGGGCCCCCAGAAAATCACCAATAATTACCAGCTGGAGCCAGTGAATATATCGTGTATCGGCGGGGAGAATCGTCTGGAAGGGGCATAGGCTTCCCCAAACCACAGGGCGCAGGGGTCGATTGATAGCGGAATTTAGAGTGTGTGTGAGAGAGCGTGTGTGTGGGAGGGTGAGGAGAGGAATGAGTCGAGCAGCAAGCCAACGGGTCGGTAGTCATGGAGACAGCAGAATCAGAGGCCAGAGAGAACGGAGCAGAGTTGCGACAATGACGGCGACGACGGGCGAGGACAATGCTGTCCGGAGGCAGTGTTCAAGCCATTAGGTAGGTAGGTATCTGATAGAGGAATGAGATGATGTTGGCAAGGCTCCATCGTATCTCGGCCCATCGAAGGGGTGCCACTGGGGTAAGAGCCACTGGCTGCGCTTGGACTGGTTGGAGACGGGCGGGTTGATACCACATGAGGCCAAGTTCCCTTATCTCTGTCGCATGGGGCAGTGTTCACGAGTTAAGTTACAGGGTCTGATTAATGGGACCAGTGCGGTCCATGTAGGCGGTACATCGGCCAGTGGGCTAATTGATTTGTGTGGGTTTCTCGTAAGGTGCATGTCAGCGCCACTACGTAATGATTTTATAGGGGCCAGAGCGCCTGCCTGTGACGCTGCTCGCGATAAATGCCATTCCTTGTCCCCGATCGCTACCCTGGAGCCTGACCTCCCAGACAGGTACCCGTCCGCATTGTGGCCTCTCCACGCAATGCTCGGGCATGCCGTCTTCCCACTTTTTGCTGCTGCTCAGTCGTATTCCCTACCCCGGATTCTGGCTGTGCTTGTGCTTGCCGCCTGCGTCCGTTGGCACTGATGTGCGGGCGCACGCTCAGGAACACGGGATATCCCATCGACCTGGAAGGTGAGATTTCGACTGCGGATCGGCATGGCGGTTAGATGGTGGCTGGCGGAGGTACTATCATTACGCAAGTACCCGACTCTGGTACATGAGCAGGTACATCTCGAGCGACTAACGCTGCGGTACCAACCGATCAGCCCTCGGTTGCCCAGTCCTTATCAAATGCGTTGACTACATATCAGACAAAGCCCCCAGAGACTGCGACTCCAGAATGCCCGGTATCTAAAATGGTCCTGTGCGTCGCGGAAAGAAGGTGGGCCTGGGCCAATGGGAGACCGGATGCAGTGATAGGACGGTGGGATTCTCCAGTGCACTGGCCTGGCCCGATAGACAGGTACAGCTGTACCGCACCGCCTTACGTATCGGATTCGTCCCCCCCCACGTTTTCTGGGATCGTGCCGACACACCATTAGTCTTTGTGCTTACTCACGTAGCTCTCTATTAGTCCCTCTATTAGCTGGGCCGTGATTTCCATGACACACGATTGTGCTGCCGCCGCCAGCACCGAGGCCGAGTGCATCCGGGTTGGCAGGGGGCCCAACCGGGTTCGAGATGGCCGCTGGACCGGCGGTGATTCTGATACAGGATGTGGTAATATAAATCACATTTGGTGTCTGAGGCGGAATGCCGGAGACCAGAGAATCCAAGCCTGGGCGGTCCAGGTCCACTCTTGAGCGTCATGAGCATGTACCTGGTCGAGTCAATCAGCAGCGCTTTCAGAATCATGTGCATACCTGGGCATCCAGGCTAAAGCACCGGCACATATCTATTATCTAAAAGAAAACACAACCCTCGAAGAGGCATGCATACGAGAGCTAGATGTCGGATACGTGTACATTCTCTCTTTTCCGCAGATGTAGAAAGTACAACTACGGCACCGCTGATTGCTACTCGGATCCTGGGATCTTGCCACCTCGCAGGTCGTTGGTATAACCGTCTGATGCATGTGCCTATCACCAGCGAATGAGTCTCGGTACTTGAGGGGTGTATCAGTAGTTGATAAGGCCCATTAGCACGCGGCAGGTCTCTCCAGAGAGCATCGCACACCGCCAGTAGCGGGCAGCTCGGGGGTGTATGTAGGTATGATTGAAAGGCAGCCAGTGCGCCATCACCGCCATGCAGAAAAAGAAAGGAAGCGCTGCGAGAAAGACAGCTATCACTGCACCGCATGCAATGTCGGCCTTTCTGTCGGACAATACTGCCACCCTCCCGGACCTGCAATGCCAATCAGTCAAGAATTACGGAGTAATCACCTCGAATAAGCCTCCTCTGCTCGCGGCCTGGACCAGCATTCCTGGCCAACAGCGGGCTGGGCTGAGCTTGCTGATAAGAGCAAGACGCCACAGGGTTGCCCATCGTCACACAACAGATGGGAAAAGGAGGGGAGGGTGGAACCTCACCTCGCCTCGCCTCACCCCCCTGAATCCTCTTTTGACTCTCATTCCTGCCACACCGGCTTTCTTGCGTGCTCGCTGACCGCAATGATGAGGTCGTTGTTCTTCGTCCCCTGATCCTCGCTCACCATCATGGCTGGGCTATTGGTGCTGGAGGCAATCCGGGACTTGAATGTCTGCATTGGATATTACTACCTCTGAGGATGCACTACAGGGGGCGGAGATGGCCCGGGGACTGGGTGGTGCTTGTCAAGTCACTCCCATCTTGGCGATAAGGTTGGTGGAATATGGAGCAAGGTATGATAAGCAGCGTAGCCCAGTCAAGGTTGGTCATGGCGAATAGCTCGCCCATGGCGCGCTCTACGGGCTAGACTCATCGATGCTCGGGGGCCCCCAGAGGGCTTGACTATGGGTGTTTAGCTCAAAGCAAACAGGGCTGTCGCTGGACGCATCGTGGGCCTAGCCTTGGGATGATTGATGCTGATGATAAATTCTCTAGATAGCAAAGAGATAGACACAGCCGCTTGGGTAAATCCAGCCCCTTTTGACTTTCCTCCTCTAGCTTAGGCAAATTCGCCTCACCTGCTCTCCTGGGCAACAGGGCCAAGACGTGAAATCATGCACTACACCACCTTATCTTGGGCGACATAGACGGCGCTCCCGTGGCCAGGCCTACTCACCACGACCGCCTGCTCCTTCTGCTCGCCCGACAGCTCCCTCTTGGAATAGTACTCACGCTCCAGGGCCTCCTCCACACTCGCAACTTTATCTGCCGGCACCAGGTGTACCGTGCATCCACCCCATCCGGCCCCCGTCAGTCGGCTGGCGTATGCCCCGGCTCCACGCCCGATCTCGCAGATTTGGTCCAGCTCCGCACAGCTGTTTTCGTACAGGACCCTGCTCGAATCCTGCGACTCGTTCATGAGCCTCCCCAGCTCCTGGTTGAAGGCCGTCGTGTCCGTCGCCCCGGGCTCGACCGACCGGTCCACCACCGCGAGGAACTGGAGCACGCGGAGCGCCTCCGAGAAGACGTGGAGCGCGCGCTGGCGCAGCTTGAAACGCTCCGCCCGGACCGGCAGCTTCGACATGAACCGCTTCTCGAGGTCCGCGACGCTGGTGCCCAGGACCTTGGCGACCTCCTCCCGTGTATATCCGTCCTCCTGCGTCAGGGTCTCTTTGACCACGGCGATCAGCTTGTTCAGCTCCTCCTCCTTGCTGAGACTCTTCGGCGCAGAAAGGTCGGACGCGTTCTGGTGATAAAAGTAGTTGTCGTGGAACCCGTGGAGGCTGATGCCAAGTGGCCCAGCATCTTCGGGGAGCGGCGTGCCTGGGGGGTTGAGCACAGCATTCAAATAAGCAGCCGCGATGCTGACCTCGACTACGCGGAGGTTATAATTCACCGGGCCCGTGACTTGCTTGTTCGATGTGACGAAGGATTGGGCCACGAGGAAGCAGAGCTCGGGGTGCGTAGGTGGGAACTTGATGGGCTTTGCTTCGAGGCTGGGGCTGAAGGACACGAGCAAGGCAGAGCCTTGCTCGGAAAGTACAGAGGCTGATTGGTCCATGCTGCAAGAGGAGAGTCAGTCCCGCATCAAGTTGAAGTTGTGATACCGTCTCATCGTGATACTTACCCTCCAGAGTTAACACCAACAGCACGCTCACTCACGATGGCGAGCTCTGTCAGCTCCTTCTTGTCCACACTCTCCTCGCCGTTGGCCAGCAGGACGGTGAGCGCACTGGATGTCACAAATGCAGCACTCGAGCTCAGTCCACCTCCAATGGGAACGGTCCCATCCATGAGCAGATCGATATCGTGAAGCTTCACATCCGTACCTCGCTTTTTCCTCAGTAGTTCCAATGCGCCCCGCAGCCCACTCTTGAAGTAATTGCTCCATTCAAACACGGTTGCGTCGATCTCAAACCCACCGTCGGCCGGTAATGTAAACTCTCTGGCGGGGAACTTGGCGTCGTCCACATTCGCGATGCGGATACGGAAGCTCTCTGGCGAGCTGGACGGTTTGGCAGAGAATGCGAGGAGGCAGTCTGCTGTAATGGCCATGGGCAGGACCGCGTAGAGGGAGTAGTCGATGTGCTCGCCTATGATATTGACGCGGCCGGGGGAGCGCGCGACGTTAGAAGCTCGGTAGCCATACTTCTTCTCGAAGCCCTGGAGAAGGTCGTTCCATCGGGGCAGCTGCGTTGGCAGAGCAGTTGGGGGGTAAATGTCGGCCAGCGCCTTTGCTACAGGCACAGACCCTGCCATGGTGTTTTGCTTCAGGATAGAGGACGCCTGGCTGCTTGGATGATTTCAACAGTGTTGCTCAGAAAAGGGATGCAGAGTTTTCGAGGTCAAAACCAGTACGTTTGTGCAGGCAGCCGTTGACTTCCGTCGCATTTGACACGAACCTGATCATCACTCGATTGAAGAAGGTGATGGCCTGTACCCCGCAAAATGCCCCTCACTCGTGGTTTGTCGGGCCGATCACTCACGAGACAACCAGTCTCAGCGTGCAAGGATTGCGCTCTCGCGCCAACTGCACCTTGGGGACACGTCTGGGATGGGAGTTCAGAAAGCTGGAAATGCTCTCCTTCTACTGGGCCGCGTTGTGCGAGGGAGCTGTTCCTTGCACTTCACGCTTCTCGGCATGTCGTTGCACCGAGGTGAGTGGCCCGCCATCACGTGTTGTTTCGTCCGAGCCTCTGCTTCGAACATGTTCCTCTGTGCACCCTTGTTTCAAGATGGCTAGATGTCTGAGGTCCATACAAAGCTGGCTGCCATCTAACCAACAGCCTCTTTCGTCTCATGCATAGTATGAAACGTTGGAGACGTTCCCAGTCACCTCTTGTAGCAACGAAATATACTAGATACCCTACTCGCTCCAGGCATAAATGACGTATCTCACAAGCTTTGTTTATCGTACCTTATGGATTGGGTTGGCATGGTTCCACTGCGGGAACGCACATCACTGGGCCGCCTCTGCTTGAAGAGACCCAGCGCTGACTACAGATGATGGCGTATTCTACGAACATGTGGATATAATGGGCTCCTGTAAAGGAAGTAAGATCGATATAATCCATAAATGGATGCTGTTATTGAGGCTTGGCTTGAGAAAACTTTGAGTACACAGCGAACTGCTTGATCATTACTGAACACCTGCGCAACAATGTGCAGAATTTGCCCAGACGGGGAGGCAACACGGTCAGAGAGATTGTGAAGTTCTTCTGATTAGTTGAACAACATTGGCTTGAATGCTGAACATACCATTTTAACGGCAAAGCCAAGTGGCGACCATGAAGATGAAACTGGACCTCGGGTGCGTGCAGCCGTCGACGGTGTTGTGGTGCGATGCCCGCCATGACAAATCCCAGAGCCTCGACGGCTTCGCCTTTCTTTCTTTCCCTCTCTCGCCCAATAAGCTCAGATGGGTATCTTATCATCTTGTACCTGATGCACCGAGTTTCACATCAGCCTAGAGTGCAAGAGAGAACCCGCACAGGAAGGCAAGTGCTCCCCAGCAGGTCCTCAACACAAGGAGCCAAAACAATCGAGACGCTCTCAGGCGAAGATACTCCAACCAACTCTAGTAATCCCATGGCCACCTGGGGCAGCAAACTCCAATTTAGTTATTCACAAGGATGGCGTCCGTCATGAACCGTCAGCGATCTGGCTCTCTGTACATCACTATTTCTATCCCACCTCTACTCGCATACCAGAGGCCAAACACCCTTCCATATCCTTCCCATCTTCCCCCGGATTCTGACGTTACAAACTACGAGCTCGAATGTGCCCACGGCTTTGCCAATGAAGAGTTCAGCTGGGGCTTGTACTTTTACCACGACGAAAGCAAAGGCACCTGGTACACTCTCCGACGAGTCTCGCCCCTCAGCATCGATCGGACGATGCCAATCCCGCCAGCCTTCGAAATGATCAAGCAAGATGTCCCCCTTGCGACCCTCCGCCTGAATGTCATGCTCGTCGGCCTCATCCGCGTCTTCGCCGTGGACCCGGGGGCCAACACAGATGCCCACATGGGGGGCTTTGGCTCCTATCTCGACTGGCTGACTGCCAACCTGGCGATCCAAGCCACGAGGTCGTTTCTCTGGGTTGTAGGTGCATACGTGCGATGCCGGCAGCACGTTGTCAGGGCCCACGGCCTCAGTGACCCCGGCACCTTCGACATTAGTCGCTTTCTCCACGAGGCCTTGACCTTTGCCTACCTCGAAGTGTGGTACGCCGTCGGTGGGCAGTTACCTCGACCTATCATCTCCTCGGAATCTGGAGCTGCACTCGTGTTGGATGAAATTACCGAGGGGAACCGTCCTGGAGAAGTTGAGCAGAATGCTGAGAAGGACGTCGAGAAAGTCCTCGATGTCAACGACGAGAGCCAGTGGCCCAAGCTGCCAATCAGAGCCAAAAAGACCAAGTGAGGGGTCTGTCTCATGTTGACCCGGGCTGAGAGACAAAGCTGGAGCCGGAGCACAGATCAGGTGGCCGTAGGTAATCATGTGGCAGGGTGATGAGACATTGTGATTGGTGTGACAGTAAGGGAAGCAGAGGTCAGCTCTATTTGTTTTCTTAGTCATTGCAGAATTAGAAGAAGATCAATAATAGCGGTGAACTTTCAGAAATGATTTGTCTACTTGTGCGACGGCTGGAAGTAAGCTGGAAGCTGGTGGCCCAGCCAATGTGATATCGGACGTCTACACACACCTTGGTCCGATTTCTGACCGGCATGCAAGGTTTACGCAATGGAGACGGCGAGTTGAAACATTCTGCCTCAAACATGCTCTCGCCAAGCGACAGGCCATGCCGGGCACCCTTCTCTTCTCGTCCCGTGCCGTATTGACAAGTACGTATCAGGGAATGCCATGGAAACATCAAGGCCCGACGCGAACTCTGTGATACCTGCGAGACTTTTGCGATTGGGGATTGTCCAGTGTGGCGCTAACTCTACTCCAATCGCGGTCGAGGGGTTTTCGCCGTCTGCAGAAACTCAGAGCACATCGACATGCCCACGACGTCATTGGCGTTGCCACAGGGCGGGAGGCACAAATCCCGCTGCATTGACTGCTCCTTCCCCGCGAAAAGCATCGTACGTATCTCACCTCATTAGGTAAGGACGCAGAATGAGAACGGAAGGTCCTCCCCTCTTACTTCCCCTCTCCAAGGTATTTAAACTCGGGCCTCCTCTGTTGTCATCTCCACCCAACCTTTCATCATCACACTGCCACTACCAAACAACCAACTCGAAGTGCCTTGAAGCTATAATCAATACCAATACCAAAACCAAATCCTTCCAACCACAAACCAACCAACTTTCACCATGGGTGACTGCGGCTGCTCCTCGTCCGGCTCTTGCAACTGTGGCTCTGGCTGCACTTGTGCCAACTGCCCAGTAAGTCTGCATCATCTTCCTGGCTATCGAATGCTGCTATGTGACGTGAGACTTGCTGACGATTTCCCTTTGAAAGCACAAATAAATGGCTCCAATGCCACCGACTATCTGTCGCTATGGCCGCCGACCTGGCGTGAACTGGGGATATGCGAGAATGGAGTATTTGGGGTTCGGGAATTCAAAGGTCTTTTCTCTCCAAAAGACATATCACCCTCCTTTATTTTAGTAGTAAATGGGACGGGAACACTGGAATGAATATTAAGTTGAAGGGGTCTCCAGACTGAGTAACAATATACCATATTTGACCCCATCCATCCTGCCCATTTTGATACTTATCCAACGTGAATCATGACATACTCGTTTCCAACTCCTCTATCGTACGCTTTCTGGGAAGAATGCAAGGACCGGGCTCAGCGCCGCCTCGTATATCTGTTGCGTCCGCTCCTCCTCGTCAATAACACCCATCTCCTCGTCATCCGCGTATGGCTCCCCGTTGACCAACACTTGCCAGCCCTTATCCTCCTTCCAACCCCACCTCTCCCAAGTTTCTGTCGCTGCCTCGAGCGTCAGCCGGCTTGTATAGATGATAGCGGCAAGGATGGATACGACAAAGTTTGCCCGAGCCACATGGCACGCAAGTCTTGTTGAGCTCCAGCTTCCGCCACAGGAACGCTCCAAGTACCAGGGATGCGCGGATGGGTGTTCAGAATCCGAGAAGTCTGCCGAATTCTGTCCCACCAGAACCCATATCCAGAGCGAGGAGAGCAAAATATCATAAACGATAGAGGCGGCACGAGGGAGGTACCCGAGCGGCTGCACTCCAGCACGAATAACGAAGATGACGAAGGAGAGAGCTGCGATGCAGAGCTGCGAGTTTGTCAACCTGTTCGCTGTTAGTACGTCATATGGTGGACGGCGGGCCAAATGCGCCGGCGTCTTACCTCTGCGACCAGATCAAGGGCACCTCAGGCGGCTCCTCGTAGTTCGCATAGTAATAGATTCGTTGTTTCGGGTCCGAGTTCCAGCCCTGAGCACCTCCGTTCTCCCAGAGCTTGGAGCGAAACCGGTCGGGATAGCCCCAGACACATAATGCAAGGGCGGTGATGGTGACGCAGAACTCGGCCACCAGCAGAGCGGCGTAACCTATTCTCTTTCGCGATAGCATTATCTTGCAAACGGCCTCGATGTTCGAGTCCATCCTAACACTGAAATCGACCCGTTCCCTCGTATATATCCATGGCGATTGCAGGGACCCTGCTGGAAACTTGCTCATTTTGCCTCAGGTTGATGGGGAATACCCAGCAAATTTCTCACGCGATCGTCGGCCGTGACACGTGAGAGGAGATTGAATGAAGAGACGAACGGACGGTGAAGATGCTCTACTTTTTGGGTCTTCCCATGACTACGTCGCCTTCTTTTGTACCTGGATGAATCCATCAAAACAAGATTCGGCGGGCTCTGCTGCCATCGAGGCCAAATCTGCCGGGAAGGTGGCTGGTCGAAACAAACCATGCAGCTAAAAAGCTTAAAGTAAACAATGACACAGCGGGGAGGAGTCGATAGGATGCGAAGCGAACGGCTACCTAGGAAGGTCTGATGAAATGCGCTTTGTGGGCTGGTGTGTTGAGGACCCGGAGTTGACTCCATTTGGGCTTGTTTGTTCGATGCGGTGGAGAATATCCATGGCTCCCGAAGTGAAGATGTTTGACACGATCTTGATCCTCGACCCTAAATCCCTGCACCCCTCGTTCATATTGATCTTGCCAGAAGCCTGCAGCACCTCGATGCCGACTCACAGCTGCCCTGGACCGTCGTGTGCTGCTCTCGTCCATAGCGTTTGCATCGATATCGTCATGTCCCAGTCACCTACAATCTCTTTATGAACCCCGGTCTGCTACCACTCTTAGTGGAGGGAATGGGATGCCTTGGCTGGAGGGCTTGGCCTGCAAATCTTTTATAGAGAGGGGCTATCTGACGACATCAACAGCGAAAACAAGTAGAGTTTTCTTATTCCGACAAGGCCGATGATTGACAACGGTACACACCCAATATTCTATTTATTAAAGATGAACATGTCAAAGAGATGATTCTTTTTAATCCAGCTCACTGATCATGGAAAAAGAGCTCTTAGTACAGAGCAGGCTGCATTACAAGACCTGGGCGATGGACTAATTTTAGCAGCTGCTACAGGTGAGATTCATATTGTCAAGATGCCTCTCGCTCGTAAAAGGAGCTGATGCTAACGATGCTGAATCCGATGGAAGAACTGCAATCCACTTCGCATTCAAAAGCCGGCATTGAGAGATTGTTCGGTTTGACAGCAGCAGAGACAGATGATATTGCTACTACTTCAATCCTAAGACTATGATTTAAGAGAAAGTGCATTGATAGGAAGGAAAGAATTAGCTACGAGTAGCTTTTTATTCGATTTACAAGGGAGAACAAATCAACGACACAACGGCATCTAGTAATATCCCTTAGCCCTCTTCCATCGCGTCCACTCCGTGTTTTAGTTTGAATCCCCTCAGTGCTAATGGCCATGCTACCTTTGATGATCAGGAAATAAGCTACGCCGTTTGTGACGACCCTCTCTCCGCCAGCGGCGTATCGGCCGTGGCCGCCGCGATCATCATGTCAGAAACCCATTTCCAAATTCTAACATAGAAACCGTCAGTCATTTCCTCATACGTTTATGGCGGGGAATAGGAAGGGGTACCCATGGAAAACGCTAACTGCACTCGCTCCCGCAAGGAACCGGCCGGCGATGAGAGCATTCACGTTGGGTGCCATTTTGCAAAACGCAGAAGCGGCACGGTATAGAATGACACTGCCGAGGAGCAAGTTTCTGTGGTTGACTCTTTCGTACAAGACAACGCTGTAAGCATAGAGACCGGATTAGTACTCTTTAGCGATTTCTGTATTCAGTATCAAGTCACACTTACGTCGGCAATGTGGCAATGGAAGATCCGAGAACAAAAGCATTGTCGAACAAACTAAAGCTTGTGACCCTGTTGAGGCTTTCCGGAAGCTCTTTCAAAACTCCGCGATAGATGCAGTACATAAGCGCACTCGCGGCGAGGCCAATGGCCACCGCTCTCCACGAGAGGTGAGAGTTTTGCCTGGGCATTTGTAAAGATGGCGTTGCACGAATAAACGGTCAAGGTAAGGTACGGTTCGTAAGATATAAAAGTCAGCCTTCTGCTGCCTATGTATTTATATTTTTTCTTTGGCTAATCTAATACATACCGATCTGTCCAGGTAAATGGCCTTGGGTTGCATGGGATGGGATGAGAAAAGTTGCATTTCCCAGCCAGCCAATGAACTCGTCTGAATCCAGACTGTAGGAGTTGATTTAAGGACATGAAACTTCAAAACACTTCTAAAATCCATTTAGTTTTACTCATACATCAACAACGGTATCCCATAATTCATGCGCACAAAGAGAGCGTTCCCAGGGTCATTGATTTAACACATTCGATCTTGTCCGGCTCTTCTAGCTGCTCGGTAGTAGTTCAATCAGACTCGCCCATTGAAGACTTCAAAACTTCAAAGCGCAAATGTATAGATACTTTCCCAGGCATTTGATTTCATATCACTCTGAAGTTACACCTGTTGCTGATTCAGAGAAGGCCAGAACAGAGAGTTGGGATGAAGTCATCAGCAAAGTACTTTTATGTACCTCAACGCCTTTCTTCAGCACTTCTGATTGGCAATGTACTTCTAAGCTACTTCTTGGAGACCCACGTCTGAATTGCCCCAACCCACGATCTTTGGCCGGTACGTATCTGTTCTTAGTCACGGCGGGACGAGCGAGGAACAGAGAGATCCGTCACTCCAACTCAGGCGGAGAGAGCCGAGGCAGGACAACACCACACTCCAACGTACGTTGCCTCGTCCAACCTGCGAGCGGCAGAAGCCTTTGCAGCTATTGCGGCTCGTGATCCACTGCCCTTTGCGCTCTTGCCTCCGGCCTTTTTCTCACCACCGACCCCTTCACACTATCATGCGACGCACCAGATAGACGGCCCAAGCTCTTCATCCGCCTGCCCGCCATGGATCCAGGCAGCACCAGCACGCGACCTCCCGCAGACGAGCCCGCCTCTACACACAACGCCGTGGCAGTTGCGACGAGCACGCGAACCCTCGACGCCCCTCGACGATGCTTCATCTGCCTCAACGATGAGGAGCCCACCGATCCCCCCTCGTCCTGGGTCGACCCGTGCCCGTGCACGCTCGAGGCGCACCAGGACTGCATGCTCTCGTGGGTTGTCGACTGCGAGCGCTCCAACAAGCCGCTCCAGTGCCCCGTGTGCAAATCCACCATCAGCATGGAGGGACCCTGGGACCCCGTCGTGAGCTTCCATGACGCGGTACTGCGCCGCTTCACCCGGGCCAGCCCGTTTCTGCTCGTCACCGGCTTGTCGCTGGGCGTCCAGGTCAGCTCTCAGATGTATGGCGCCATGGCCATGTGGTTGTTTTCGGGTCGAGATGCGCTCGTAGAGTATATGCTGGGAAGCCCGAACCAGCCCTTTGGTGGCGTGTCGTCACATTCATCCAAGGTCGAGAGGATTACCAATGCCGCCGTCCTTATGAATATCGCTCCGGCCCTCCTCATCGGCCAGCTCATCCCCGGACTCGGCAACAAGATCTTTGTCCCTATGGGCTCGTTGGTATGTAACCTTCCTTTGGGCTCTCTTGGATTTATAGCTAACTGATGCCCCCTTTAGTATGGCATCTACCATGTCATGAACGACGACAACTTCTTTACATGGCCGCCATCACCGCAACTGGCCATCGCCGTCTTCCCTTACGTGCGGTCAATCTACTACAACCTCTGGCGAGAATTTGTCTTCCCCTACGAAGTCAACCTCAACCGCCGAATTCTCGGCCTTCCCCCAGCCGAGCCCCGACGAAACGACAGAGGCAGAGATAACGGCCGAAACGGCGAGCGTAACGCCGAGGGCGGCGTCGTCGGTTTTCTACAGACTCTACTGGATGCTCTAGACCCGGATGAGGAGGAGCAGGAGGGGCGAGAAGCGCCACCGCAGATTGAGATTGTGCACGAGGAGATCCCTCAAGAGGCGATTGCTGAAGCCGAGGAGCAAGTAATCTTCGAGTTCCACTACGAAGGGGACCTGGGCGAGGATGACATCCTGCTCCCCGACGAGGACGAGCCGGCCGAAGCCCATGAGGATGCACATCGCGAACCCCCGGCACCAGATCAAGCCGAGCCGGCCGAGCAGCAGGCAGCAGACCAGGAGCAGCCCGCGAACCACCGAGAGGCGGCCCAGGCACCGCCAGCGCACCGCCCAGGGCTCGGCACCATCCTCTCCAACATGTCCAACGCTCTCGTCAGCGCCCTCATCCTCCCCGGCATCTCATTTGCGGTTGGCGAGGCGCTACGACTGCTGCTCCCCAAGGGTTGGACCACTACACTGCGGCCGGGCCTGATGCAGCACCAGTGGGGCCGCAGTCTTATCGGAGGCTGCCTCTTCGTCGTCATCAAGGACGTGGTTAGGCTCTACTCCAAGCACCGCAAGGTCGCGGCGATGGGCAACCGCCGTGTCAAGAATGTGGACAGGCGGAGGAGGGGGAAATGAAGTACACGAGAAGACGAGATTCAAACATGTACAACTTGGGGACACTAGCAGCATGGGATCGGAGTTTGGGATAAGTCAGAGCGATCGAGGCGAACAAGGTTATCTTGCGTGTGAATAGAGATTATGAAAGAACCAGCTCGTGAAGGATAATGATGCCCACCAGTTTCAACAAGCTGGTTGGTTTGACGTTGATGTGAGTTTGGCACATATTATTATCATACCCACCATTCGAGCCAGCAAGTCGGCAGCCCAGCTCTCCAGCGAATAATCACGCGCAAATAGTAGGTAGCATAAACATGAGTCTCAGACAAGGCAGCCACTTGATTTGGTGGCGACTTAATGCAGAGCTCTGTTCGCATGAAAATGATGTGCAGCAGAAGCCAGATGGATGCCCGAACGGGCAGCAAGCACATGGTGGACGGACCCAGCAAGAACCTTCTGGGCCCGTCCACCTCCACCTTTAACCCAACGTGGGGCAGCCTTTCGCTTTTCCCATCAAAATCTCCAGCCCGGTGTCCTTCTCGTCGCAAACACCCCGCCGCCCAAGCAGAAGCCCCCTCGCCTTTCTCTCCCTCCCCTTCGCACTCGCCAGTGCTCTCCCCGCCGCCATGGTAAGCATCAATTCCGACCCTTTCGTCCCTCTACGAGAGACCCTCGTAGGAGAACATCCCCGAGGCTAACACAATGGGGGGTCACCCCGCCACCACCACCCAGGCTCAACAGTCCACCAAGCAGCGCCTCGCGCTCGCCATCTGCGACTTCCTCAACACCTCCGCCACCGACGGCACCCTGACAGGAGAGGACAAGGACTCGATCGACATCGCCGTCAACTGCATCGCCGAGTCCTTCAAGGTCGACCCCACCGACTCCGCCACCCTCGGCGGCCAGAACCTCGAGCAGATCTACTCCGTCTACGAGACCCTCAAGAACAAGACCACCGCCGGTGCCTCCTCCTCGTCCGCCTCGGAGCCCTCCGACGAGAAGAAGAAGGAGGCCGACGCCCTCAAGAGCAGGGGCAACGCCTCCATGGCCCAGAAGGACTACAAGTCCGCCATCGACCTCTACACCCAGGCCCTCTCCATCCACCCCCGCAACGCCGTCTTCCTCTCCAACCGCGCCGCCGCCCACTCCGCCAACAAGGACCACGCCTCCGCCCGCTCCGACGCTGACGCCGCCGTCGCCATCGACCCCTCCTACACAAAGGCCTGGTCCCGCCTCGGCCTCGCCCGCTTCGCCCTCGGCGACGCAAAGGGCGCCATGGAGGCCTACTCCAGGGGCATCGAGCACGAGGGCAACGGCGGCAGCGACGCCATGAAGAAGGGCTTCGAGACCGCCAAGCGCCGCGTCGACGAGATCGAGAGGGAGGAGGCCGCCGACCTCTCCCGCGGCGCTGGCCCCGGCTCCCCAGGACAAGGGCCCGGCGGCCTCGACTTCGGCAACCTCGCCTCCATGCTCGGCGGCGGCGGCGCCCCGGGCGGTGCTGGAGGTGCTGGCGGCATGCCCGACCTCGGCTCCATCATGAGCAACCCCATGTTCGCCAACATGGCCCAGAACCTCATGAGCAACCCCGACCTGATGAGCAACCTGATGAGCAACCCTCGGCTGCGAGACATGGCCAACCAGTTCAGCAGCGGCGGTGGCATGCCGGACCTCAACAGCCTGATGTCTGACCCCGCAATTGCGGATATGTAAGTTCTTCCCACTTGAAAGACACAGCAGCAGCAGCAGCAGCAGCAGGCTAACGTCAATTGACTCAGGGCTCGTAATATGATGGGTGGCGGTGGCCCTGGAGCCCCAGGTGGCGGCTCCAACAACCCTCAGGGACACAATGAGCAATAGAATTAGCGTGTGTTGGGCGACAGGATTGTTTGAGCGTTCAGGTCCATCTTAAACATTGATAAAAAGAATAGCTCAACTGTTTTCAAAGCATTGAAGCAACAGGGGAGGCTGTGAATTATGACCTACGATATTACGATAATGTACATGCCCCCCATATGTGATATTCTTGCCAAAACGTTGTGTCGAACTGTCTGTTCCAGACCCCAAAAAAAAGCTCTACCATCAAACCAGTGGTTATGTTCTGCCACTCTCCACTGCTGCATATTCATGCTATAATCATCACTTCATCCCAAAGCTGCTATTCATATCACAATAATATCGGTCTCAGAATTGAGAGTATTTTGTCCACTGCCCACCGTTTGCTAATTCATGCTCCTCTCGTTGCTCTTCCACGTCGGCTGCGCCAATAGCCCCTACCACGCCGGCCGTTGCGGTGGCCAGTGCGGCTCGGCGATGAAGTTGAACTGCCAGTAATTGGATCCGGCTTCGTTGTTTCTTTGCCCTGTCTAGCTTCAAGTACCGGCTGTTGCATTGTAGAAACACTTTCCGGGGTATTGTTTGTTGTGGCCTCTGGTTTTGCCTTTTGCCCCTGCTCTACCCTTGAATCCGCCGGAGACTGGGAGCTGGGTGTAACAGCAGTTTGAGCTTTAGCCTTGCCCACAGCATTGAATCTCGGGATATTTGACCCTGCAAACTTGGGGTGTGGCAGAGGAGCAGAAACCCGACGGTTAGACTAAACAATGGGTTAAATACCCTTCAAGGACTAAGAGTCACCGATCTTACTGGTTCATTGGCTGAATGATCTTTTGTCTGTATTATCTGTCCTTGTTCAGGCTGCGTACTCTCCGCCGCGTAGGCTGGTTCACTTTTGGACTGAATTCGACGAGAATATCGCGGGCACTTGAATTGTGAGTTTTCTAGTTGGGGAACTTGATCCACGCTCTCATCAGCTAGTGATGCACGAGGCTCAGTGGCAGGGGCTGTGGTAAGTCAGTATTGTTTGCTTTCCAACACATCGTCATGCACCTACTTGTTGTTGTCTGCTGTGAACCTCCTCCTACTATCTGAGCTTTCGATTCAGACAGTATGTAAGCTGGGGAAGCAGCCTCATCTTTTTCTTGACATTGTGAAATCAGCGCCCCACCTGAGCTCTCATTGGATGTCCCGTCATTGATGGTCTGCGATTGCACGATATCGTCGTTATGGTCTGCTTTTTCTTCAAGCTCATCGGACCACTGGCGACTGGTCTGAGAGCTGGCTGGCTTACTGGCTGTTCCAGGGACAGAATCCTCAGTGCTTGTATCGGTTCGTTTCCTTGCAGCCGCCTGGCTCGGAGTTGGCGCCTTGGGCGTGAACGTTGGGGCGATGGGATTAAGTCTCGAACCCTGTAACCCGTTAGATTCGTCTATACGCCAATCTTGGTTCATGTAGTGTACTTCTTTCACATGCCGAGGAGTCGAGGGCACAGTCATGAAAGGGTTGTCATCGCATGCCAACGAAGCACGCTGGCCAGCGACCTGAATTGGTTGTTCAGGTAAGCTAGACGGGGCATCTCTGGAGAAGAACTTAGTACCAGACAGAACACTGTCCCTTGATGAATTATTTTCCTTTAACCAGAGAGCGGAATATCTGCCATCATCGAGCATCAACTTTCTGGGAGCCCCGTCCTCAACTAGCCGACCATCCTCGAATACCAAAATTTGATGAGCATCTAGGGTTTTTGCGAGATCACAGCTAAAACAGTTAGGCCTCGTATTGAAATTAACCGCTCGAGGGTGTACACACTGAACAATGAAGGTAGTTCGCTTGCGCTTTGTAAAAGCAGCCATTATTCTTCGCTCCGTGGAGGGATCCAAGGCACTTGTTGCGTTGTCTAGAACCAGGATATCTGGATCCCGTAAAAACTCACGGGCGATCGCAATTTTCTGCACGTCAGAGACTGAGAGTCTTCTGATGACCATTTAGTCTAGCCCAAATCGAAGGGGCAATCGTACTCACATGCCATTGTCACCAACTACTGTCGCGTATCCTATAACGGAAGGTTAGTGTCAAGTGAACTGAAGTACTAGAAGCATGCTAAATACCTTGAGGGAACCGTAGAATTTCTTCATGAAGCACAGCCGCCTCGCAAGCCCGGAATACCTCACTGTCGCTTGCTGTGACACGACTATATCGCACGTTGTTCAGGATAGTGTCATCAAAAATATAACACGTGTCTGAAAGAATTCCGACCCTATCTCGTAGGCTAGAACAAAATGTCAGTAGCTGACACGAGTTAGGCTAGTAACAGCATGGGTACTCGCCTAAAAAGGTCGACATCACGAATGTCCTGATCATCAATGAGAATAGTACCCTTGGTTACATTGAATGATCGATTAAGAAGACTAAGAAGTGTCGACTTCCCTGATCCCTTGTTTCCAACAATGTAAGCGGTTTCGCCTCCAGCGACTTCAAAGCTTGCGTTATCAATAACAGTCTGTTGTTCTCCATAGGCGAAAGATACGCCGTCAAATTTGACCTTTCCAGCAATACGCTTCAAGGGTCGAGCATTCTGCCTGTTGTACACAGCAGGTGTTCTATGCAACAACTTGAAGAATGCAGCAGCTTGCGAAAATCCCTGGCTAGTGTTTTGGACGGCCCTTGAGAGAGAGCGGACTGGAGTGTGGAGTTGGGACCAGAACACGATGAGCATTGCCAAGTGCCCGACTGTTGCTACCCCCACAGTCGCCTGGCTGATGGCATGGCATAAACCTACGGTTAGGCCAAGGGCCAGTAGGGTTCTTTGAAAACCGGCTACTTGGCCCCGTCTTTGGGCGTATGTCTTGACTTGACACATCCGTGTGGATACCGCATTGGAGTGGAGATTGTCTTCATAGCCATTCTGATTCAGGGCTTGGATAGTCTTCGATCCTCGAAATCCGTTATGCCTGATCAAGTTCTCTATGTGAAATAGCTTTGAAAGTCTCTCGTTTTCCCTTGAAACCTCATGAGCAAGTTTGCTGGTTAGAAAGAGATGTATAAACATGCTTCCGGCCAATATAAACCCTTGGTAGGGTACCATAACGATAGACAAGTAAATGGTTGCCGAACATAATTGCACAAGCCATGGACAGAATCGAAGGAACGAAAATTCGAGAACTTCTGACATCACATTTGCGCCCTGGATCGAGATTGTCTTCTCAGCAATGTTCTCCGCGTTGTGGAAATCAGACGAGAGGTCAAGGAAATGCGAATAGGCCTTTCGGGTTAAAGTTTCTGTTATGAAGCATTTGAAGGGAATCCAGAGGTATTCGCAGATTAGCGTAATGGCAGAGGCGGAAAAGCAGAGGGCAGACAAAATCATAACTCCAGCCCATGGTGCGTCGGTGTCATTGCTATATAGTTCGTTCACGACACGGGCAGTCAGGATAGGAACCAGGAAATTTATGCAAGTGGAAGCGAGGAGACAGATAATAACGCCAATTGCTCGAATTTGAAGTCGGCGGAGACCATCGGGTTTGACAAGGCGGGTGAGCTTCTAATAGGGGCTGGTTAGACCATTACATCGGTTTGGGGTGGTGACTATAAACTTACCACAAAATCTTTCACATTCCGGGTCCAGGCACTGCTTGAAGGATCCCTACCAAAAATTGAATCCTCGTTGTCGCCGCTTTCATTATTGCCTGAAACGGTCCCTCGGCTGTTGTCTATTTCCCGGATTGATCCATAGATGGGGCCGTCAAGCCTCCTCGAAGTACGGTTGTCGATGTCTCTTGGGGTCGGGTCTCCAGATGGAAGCAGAAAACGTTCTTCGTCGTCGCTTATTGACGTATGATCGGAGCCGAATCCACACCATGTATTGCGGGGGGACACAAGAACGCAGAGCAGGAGGCTTCTTGAGGTTGACAGACATATGATGGCTACCCTAGTAGAGTCTGGAAGAGAGGGCCATACTGAAGTTGACGTCGAGATCGAAAGAAGCGCTATGCTGATCTCGAAAGGAATCGCGATTATCCATGAGAAGCGAAAAGAGTACCAGTCTGGGGCGGAACAGTTTAGAAGGCCATCTATCTGGAGAATCGACAGGGAAAAACAGGAGACAGTGCCGATGACGAAATATTCGGGTGCGACAAAGCTTGGGAATAAGTAGCTTTGGAGTATGACTGTAGAAAGTTGAGCAAACTGGGTGCACGAGAAAACACTGAGCAAAGGAATGATGGTCTTTTTGTTGTAGGCGGGCCCTGAAATCCCATCAGAGGTAAAGAAGGCAAAAAGGAAGCCGAGCAGAGCCACAACTGGATAGAGACAGTAGAGTACTGGCGTGACAGTCTCAAGAATTGAGAACATGACGAGAGTGTATCTTTCGAATTTTTGGATTCTTGGAGGGAGGCAACTGATTGTAAGGTGAAGAGAGAGACGATTCTCATCTGTTACTCGGCGTGCCAGGACACTGCGAGCCGGTCATGGAGTCTAGCCAAACGAGAGAGTCTGACGCTGTGGGTGGTGCAGTGGAAGAAAAGAAAGAAGAGACTGGTTGGCGAAGACATATTGGATTCCAATGGATTTGAGCATCGCATGAGCTACGGGTGAGAAGGAGTCTTCGTTCTACACAGGGAAGGAGTCGCTGAGGCAGATGGCAGCTCGTTGTCCGCCGTAGCAGGAAGGAAGCCCTCAAGCATCGGATGGCACCAACCATCGACAGACAGGTACTTACCTCGACACCCACCTAGAGATTCTGTTCCTAGCATTTGAAGGCAGTCCAGGGTAAAGAGCAATTGCACAATTACACAGTATAGAATGTATATTGACAGTTGCGGTTTGGATATGATACCTGCTATGCCGATAAGCATATGGAGCTTAGGAGACGGAATCAGAGAGAAAAGTTCAGAGCATAACTATTCCTCTCCTAACTGGTCTTCCAGGAAGCGAGCTGAAGCGGAATTTATGATGGCGAGTTACCGGTCCTCTGTGGGGTCCTCGCTTTGGTAGGCATGTCACTCACGGATCACCCTCATCCACCTACTAGTCCCTGTGATTTCAGGGGTCCTCATTGCGTCAAATTCAGGCGTCTACCTAGTCGGGCTGTCCGAACAGTTAAATTGATCTTGTCTGCTAGCACGTATCAAGGGCGAATTAGGATATGGCATCCCAAATCAAAATTGCATCCTCCTGGCTCTGGGATGAGTGGGCAGCGAAAACCCACTCGCGCCAACAGTCTTGTGGCGAGAAACGGACCGCACAGCTGATGGAGGCTGTTGTCTCACTCTCGGGTCTTTACAGCCTTAACACAAGCTGTTTGGGGCTGCGTGTCCTCATCTGCAACGAAGCGGCAGGTGCCACGTGAGGTACTACCTTCCTACTGTCTGTAGGTAGTAGCTGCATGAGGGAGGGCTATGACATCCATCCATTGGAACAGCTCGGAGGCTGCTAAACCGAGAAGAAACCTAATACATGCTAGCTGGGGATGAAGTGAAGTGATATTTCCGAAGTACCTTTCAGGTACCTCTTACTGGGTACCTGTAGCCTTTGCTTGAGCAATATTGGGCACAACTCAGAGCTGGCCAAAACGTGCCCTCTTTTTTTGCTTTTGTAGCGGATACCAGTCACCCCGATGATTGAGACAACAACAAACTCCACACGATGCATGGCAGAATAAAGTGTAACACCTGAACCCACCGAAGCGTAGATGCAACCGGTCGGCGGTTGCGTGTTCGGGACACAGCAGCCCGAGCTTGCCTTCTTCGCAGACAAGCTTCTAGGCCTTGATTGATTAGTAGCTACCCCTTCTTAGGACTTGCACTAGTTCGCCACTACCAGGTAGGCAAGGTAGGTTGGGAGGAGCCCAACTGACTGGGTCACCATGGAATCTCCTCCACCCACCCCCCATATGGAGGCAGGGTCGTTCAGGGTCAGTGCTCCAATTGGGAAACAACTGCCCACTGGCTGATTACCATCACTGGCCATATCCTGAAGTGCGTCAATTACATTCAAGCAGGTAGAGGGGTCCTAGTGCTGTGGAAACTACTAGTGTTCCGTCTTGGCCTTTGGCCACCGCCCACTCTCTAATACTACACAGCGGACGAAATTTGAAATTTGAGATTACCGTTTTGTGTTTGCTTTTTGGATAGTTTGCAGTGCGCTAACCTCGACCTTCATCAAAAGAATGGCCCAGCCCAAGTGTCTCACCATCAAGAAGGTTTATGCCATCGGTGAGAAGGCAGTTTGAATTTGAGCTCCTGGGTCGATTTTCTTGTTGCAGCGAAAAGGAGGACATGTTTTTGGGCGTTTGTACGGAATAAGCGGTCGTTGTTCCATCCCAGATTCGGATTTGGGACCCAAAGTTCCCATGTTCAGCCAACCCCATTCCTCTTCTCCAGCGACCCCGACCTCAACAGCCCAGAGCATCTGGTGAAGGTTTAAGAATAGCTGCTTACTCATGTTTCCAGGGGTCCAAGCACCTAAGGTCGGGCACACCGCAGTCATGCTCCACCGTCATTTTTGTCTCCACCTTTATCCGTGGCAGGTGCCGCCCAGATGGGACTTTTAGCCTACCCTATTCTTGCAAGACCCAAATCAACATCAGCATCTGCCAAAAAGCCGTGTATCGGCTGTGACGGAACTTTCCAGCAACCAAGATGACAGCATTTGTTATAGATCAGATTCCTGATGGGAAAATGCCACGTGGAATCCCAGCTCATTCAGCCTGACGCCCGCAGCACAGCCACGTACCGCCAATTTTCGGACACGGAAGTATGTTTTGCACTTGAGAACCCCTGCAATCTGGTGCACCTCCGACAGATTCACAAACGCGGAGCACCACACCCACGGGCCCGCCGATAGAAATGTTCCGCTTAGGGCTAAGTTCAGACCTGGGATCTATGTACAATGGGATGGGGGTTATTAGGGGGCCCAAGTTCATTGTGACCGTTGTGCAACTTGACGAAATGCCACGTGGAGTCTCAAGCGCCGGCCCCCATCCAAGAGGTCCAAACTCACATCTCTAGGCAGACTTGCAGATGCCGTGTGATGCACAAACGGTCCATCAGGGTCCAGAAACGCATTGTTGTCAGAGACACATCCGTTTTCGCCACGACGGGTGCCCTTCGGGCTCTCTCTCTTGCGTATTATAGTCCTTACCTCGCGTCAAGTACCCTTGCCTTGTATGCCTCTGTCTAAGTCCCGCCCCCCTTGTGCGCCCTACGCGTCCGGCTCTATCCGTCTAGAGGGGAATATTGGTTCGGAGCATTCTTTGCTAGGCAGCTGATTAGTGTGGCGTTCCCGGCACCTGCCAGCGTCTCGAACTGGGGCTATTGATTACTCTGCATCTGGTATTTTATTGTTCACCACGGGCATGACTGGAATGTGCGGCTACCGATTTGCCACAACGACGGGCGTCTAACGGCGACTCAAAGCGTCGTTACAGCTCATACCCAAAAGCCACGGTTAACCACCTATCTCAACAGCAAAAAAAATCTCGGCGTCTTGAGACCAACCAGGTGGCCAACCAGGTCGGTTTGTTGGCGATGTGATGGATGCAAGCTGACTGTTCTGGAAAACCAAACTCGTTGATGTGGATACACTCCTTGGTCAGAGCTTGCTCCCTCCCTGGTCTGCGGCTGGCGTCTATAGGTTATTGTCCCTAGGTTTTCGTTAGAGCGCTTGAAAATGGTAGGTGGATTGTTTGGTTGTCGATATGCAAGACTTTGTCTCTACTCGATCCACGGGTACCATTGGGGCTCTTGCCATCGAGCGCTCGGTCGACCCATGAGCAAGCCTTTCTTTTCTCACCCAACACCCCATTCAGCCCCATCTGGAAGGCCGAGGCTTTGAAACATGGCTCAAATGAGGAGAAATGGCATTTCCAAATGTCGGTGCCATCTTCGAGTGAGGCTAGAAAAAGGCCCCCTTCACCTCGCGGATTCCTAGAGAGCATTTCCCCTCTCACCCCAGGGTTGCTGCAAGGATACAAAGCCTAGCCTGAAACGATGCCCGATTTGCAGGAAATGGATAGCAGTCGCAAATTTCAGCATATCCAACCGGCCCCTTCTTCCTCATCACAACCAACTGAAGAGGTGACCAGTGGTGTGACAAGCGAGGGGTTTCCGTTCCCTCCCAAGCGGCAACGGAGACACCAAGTTAAGACTGCCTGTGACACCTGCAGAACGAAGAAAACCAAAGTCAGTGGATTCCTCGTCGCGGATCGTTGACCTGAACTGACCGAGTCGACGAGAAAACAGTGTGACAATCAGCGACCAATTTGCGCCGCCTGCATAAAGCGAGGCACCGGGTGCACCTTTGATGGTGTGCCCGCCGAGGCTGATGAGCTGACCGAGTCCGACGAGCTTCTGACATTGCTGACTTCTGCGCTGACTGAAGAGGAGGTAATGGCCTTGCTGTCCGACATCAAACACAGAAACAATTTCTCCGAGTCCCTGAAGCATCTAAAAACACTTCGTGATGAAAGGCTTTTCGAGGACACCAGCGGCACGGATTTGGCTTTGGCTCCGGATCAAGATAGCCTCGAGTTCGAATTGATGACGCGCCACTCTCTGTTGTTTCCAGCATCAGTTGCGCTCGACAAAACCCTGCTGTCGCAGAAGGGTTCCTCATCATGTCATAGTGCCGATGCTGTTCATGCGGGGTATGTTGCTCAAGGAAGGTACGACATGCGTTTTCTTGCCAATGCTGATTTCTCAAATTGTACCAGCTCCCATCAGGCGTCCAACAGCACTGTGGCTTCCAAGCCTGAGCCCGTGAAATTATTTGATCCTCGACTTGGGAAGGTCGACTTTTCTACGTGGACTGATGTGTCGATTGATAACCTCGATGCGGCTCGGCTTATCTCCAGATACCTGGAGGTCGATCATCCGGTGCTAGGCTTGTTTGACCATGATTTATTTCTGGCAGACCTGTCCACTGGACACAAGCGCTTCTGCACCAGCTTTCTCGTGAATGCGATTCTGAGCTGGGGGTTTGTATGGCCATTTCGCACTCTCCAAAACTGCACTGTGCTCGTTCTGACCCCGAAAAATCCAGCTCCAATATCTTCCACCCAAGTCTCCGGGAGGGCCATCCGAGAGCAGCAAGTTCTTTTCGAGGGCCCGTGGCCAATGGATCACAGGTTCCATGGCTGATTCGTTTCCCGCAGTGGCAGGCCTGCAACTCCTCAGTCTAGTGGCGACTTTCTCTGGTCAAGGGCCGACTGCGAAGAAGCTGTTATTTGATGGGATCGACATGGCCAAGAGATTGGATCTGCTGAGCAGCGGCGACGAAACTCCAAAGTCAGATCGAGGTTACAACACGGATGAATTGAAGGCAGCTTCATCAGCTGCATGGGGTTTGTTTTGCCACACGACGTATGTACACCCTGGTCTACCGTTGACCCCGAGCAACGTACTGACTTAAGATGCAGCTTGCATGCTTTACACTGCCAAAAGTGTGAGTTATGGTCGATTGGCCCGCCCAACCTACCAATCCCAGCATCCGACGATCCGACGACACTCCATTATCTCTGCCGGCTCTGGATCATTGTTCACGAGATGCTGCGCGAATACTTCTCGCCAGAACGCATCTCAGACCCTGCTCGTTACGATATCCAATTCGCCCAGGCGACTTTCAGTCGACTCCTCGATTGGGGAAGCTGCTTGCCACTTTCCCTTGCAAGGGGAAACAAAACTACACACCAAGGTGCTATACTGCAGTAAGGATGAAGTCTTCTGTGTTCTGTGTCACTGACGGTTAACAAAGGACCTTTTCTAGCATTTATTTCCACGCTGCAAGCATTACACTTCTCCGGCCACTGGTTTTGTTCGACGATGACTCTGCATTTACTCTGGACTCTGGCTCGAAGAGACCCGCCAAGGACTTCCTTCACGCCTCCTCGAACCAGCTCAAGAGACTTGTTAGCCTGTATCAAGCCAATTTCAGCCACCCATCGGAACTCTCGATCCTCTGGCATACCGGGTGTCTCTTTGTCGCCAACGCCGTGATCCGAGATGAGACAAGCCCGACTTCACGACTGCATTTTTGGCGTTGTCTGTATGGTTACAAGAGTCTGTACCCAAAGTCCACCTTGGTAAAATCCATTGCAAAAGGTCTTCTTTTGATGGCCGTCATGGAAAACCTCATCACCAAGGAAGAGGCCTGCCGAGAGATCGGGGAATTCCCATCGGGAAACGACGGCGAACACAGCCACGCGATGGAACCGACAGAGGCTTGTTTTGTTGTCGACCTTGATCTGGGGCTTTCCGATGCTGTGGGATCGCATGTGGATAGCTTGGCTCAGAGCTTTGACGACATGTTCATGGATTACAATGAATGAGTCTTCCCTCTTTCAAAGGGCCTCACGTTAGGTACACACAAGTCATCAACACGACTAACAGGTTGAGAGCGAAATTTAGGAACATTGTATACGTGGGACTGTAATTGAGAGGCAGAGAGTATTATACCCCTTTAGGCATAGAATTATTACGAAGTGAGCGAGTAATAACCACCAACCACATGCCCGAAAGTGAATGGCGTAGAAACTAACATATTAGTGACACACGCACTATGCAGTACTACGGACACGCTATTAAAACATGTAGGGTTTGACAGTAGCCCACCAATTTCCGGGACCCAGAAATGCCACTGCCATCTCGGGATTACTGATTTATTGAGGCCCCCACAACCCGTCGTTGTAAGGAGATTGCTGATGAACCCCAGGCGTGGTGTAGAGACTGTTGTCCGCGGTGAAAACATTTTGAGGTGGTAATTGGGTTGTGTTTGGCGCGGTTGGCTCTATTGAACCAATCACATCAGAAACTGTCACAAGATCTGCGGAATGTAAATGATCTGCCGATGCGAAGAGCGTTGGCTGTGGTTGGTGCGGGTTTGCCCAATGGCTCGGGCCGTTGTTGGTTCCCGAGCTCAGAAGGCCCAGGCTCTCGACCGTGCTGCTGGCGGCGCTGGTACCATAGCTCGGAAAAGCCCCAACCCTGTTGTTGACGGATGCTATTGCCTCATAGCCGAGGTACGTCTGGATAAGAGTGCAGTTGCAGTTTGTATGGCGGAGCAACTCTGACTTGAGATTCAACACCTCGTTGTTTAGGGATTGGAGGTATCCGGATAAATACTTGTGATGGTCCTCGACCTCATATTCGAGACTTGCCAAGGCTGTAGCTTGGTCACGTTGACGATGTCTGCAGCGGTTGGCAGCCTGGCGATTCCGCTCCAAGGCTCGCTGGCGAGCTGCCTCGTCCTTGAAGTAGGTAGAGCCTCCTCGAGCTCTGGGAATCTCTTTGGGTCGCTGGGAGGGACGAGGGTGGGGAGCGTCTGGTGGATTTATCCCATTTGGGTCCGGATCTCGACGCTTCTTCTTCTTCTTTATCGGCTCCACTGTCGAGAGTGGTAATTTCGACGATGGTTCTTGTTGAGGAGTGATGGGAAATGGGGAAGCTGCCGGCGAGGCACATTGATTGTAGTAAACATGCGACGGCTGGCTGGCTGGTGTGGCCTGCCAACCATGCCATTGTTCAGGGGCATCGACACTCTTCGGAGCTTCTAGAATGGGGGCCACATAGTCCGCAACATATGAGTTGTCAGTGACGGGGACGGAGAAGGTGGTTTGCCGAGACGACTCATCATATGGAGGAGAGGGAGCCGAGGCGACAGGACGGTCGGAATATTTCGATATGGGTGTGTAGGGATCTTCGCGTTGGGGAGGGATTGTCTCCTCGAAAAAGACATGGCCGTATACGGCTGGGCTGGTAGCTGTCGGGGTTGACGTAACAGTGAAGATGGCCTCCAGGGGGCCTGAAGTACCAGAATATGAGTATTGGCTTGCCTGTGAACCGTAGGAGTGGTCACCTGGCTGTGACGTGGCCGGCATCCATCGAGGTGGATGGCAAGCATGAGGATTATTCCCCATCGGGGGATCTGTTAGGAGGTACTTTAGCTACGTGGGGGTTTACTCGGGCTAAGGTGCCCCGGCGAGGTAGCGACTTACCTGCTTACCTGGACCAGAGTGCCACAACGAGAGATGGCAGATGGCCCAGCTTGAGCTAGAGACCTGTAGGCTGCAATGACCACAGCACCAGGAATAGGTAGGCCCAGCCTGGGCACCACACGGTGGGCTCGATGTGCTGGGACCGGAGGACGGCCCACAAGCCGGGCAGCAGGTCAGGCCAGTCGGGCTGCTTGTTCCTTGGGCGGATTGCCTTGGGCCTGCTGGGACTTGAAGCAGGTGCGATATGGTGCTTGTAGCTGCCGACTGTAGCGATGGTGAGGGAAGGAGGGGAGAAGGAAGGAAGGAGCAAAGGGACGAGGGGCCCGAGCAGACGAGGTAATGGTTTCCCGCCGGTGAGTTGGAGGGGGGCTCACTTGTCCTTATTGCCTATGACCTGTCTGTTCTGCTTCAGAGCCTGGCGATGGGGGTTGTTTCGGCAGGCAGAGGAGTGCGTGCGTGCATCCGCGCGCATGTGTCTCTGCATGCAAATGTGCGATGCTTTGGCCTATCTACTTGGGATCCTGCAGCAGTCACGCTGCAAGCCCACGCTTCGAGGAGTCCTGTGCGGAGCCTCGGGGCAGGAGGGATTGGCCAGCCCAACGACACAGGCTCGGGGAGGTGCTTGGCCCAGCTGACGGCCATGGTAACCTTTGACGCAATCCGGCCCAAGAGGCCGCAGATAGGGTGATGAGCAGCTGGCCGATCAACAGGTTGGTACAGGGATGTGGCCTAGAGGAGCTGACACTAACACCAGTTGCCTGAGAGTCAGACAAAAGCAATATCGACACTTTGACCTCAACGGGGGAGTGGTTATAAACCAGGAGTGCTGTGCACAATCATGTACACACATGTAGACGCATGCGTGCGCTCATACACACCGCACACCTTCACATACGGCTGCCGAATTTTTCAGTTCACCTCCAAACAATATATTCCCCTGAGACTAGGTGATGGCTTCATCTCCTTGCTTGGACGCCCTAGGGATCGTCTGTCGCGATGGCGACAGGGATGCATTGGCTTTTTCCATTTGACAAGCTTCTTGTCTGGATCTTTGACGGCCAACCTATTGAGTATTCGAGAGCTTTATTGCAACTCAATACCGGAAATATCGTTGTCCGAAGCCTTCAAGCCCAATTCACACCCCCTTTGTATCGCCTCGTTATGTACATCCCTTGGATCTGGGGCGTGTTGAGGCTTTGTAAGTTGGTTCATTGGCCGGCGGTGCCCGGACAACTCCGGCCGGCGTTTATTGGATGTTGTGGGTAATGGCTCTGGGTTCCAACGGTCCCTGGCCGGGGATTTCATGTATATTATTTTCTCTTCCCCGGCGCGGAATAGCTAGAGCGGAGCAAAGGATACATCCACGAAACAGGTATTTTGTGCAGTGCTGCAGCGCGCGAGCACATTGCTCTTCTCTCCCCTCCTTTGCCCTCTGGTTTAAATGCTTATTTATGTATACATTTGTTGACAATTTCAGCCTTTTGGGTGCTGCCTCTTGTCCTTTGACAAGTCTTGGCGGGCCATGTTTCTACTTCGGTTACTGAAATAAATACTAGGCACTCGGAAAGATCGGGACGTTTTCTTGTCGATTTGAGGTTTCGATAATTGCCAATGCTTGAGATGACTATCTTATTGACCGGTCTTTGAGATGGCTGCAGGTAGCCACCATGCTTCCTCACCGTCTCCGATAGCGACGGATGATGACACACACACTCATTCGGATGGACAAGCATGATTCGGCCCAACTAATCATGCAGTGTGCAAATACCACCAAGCACCAACACCACTAAAACCACCATGCACAATAGCACGTACCTCCAGGTTACAAGCTTGTCTAGGTCAAGTGGATATCATTACTTCCCCGCCGTTCGGACATGATTAGTGTAATCGACAGCACAAATGTGTACGATTACGACTCAAATAACGCCTTGGTCTCGGCATTCCATGTAGGTCTGGATAGAGAGAGTTAGCGTGACCCGATTTGACATACTAACCCCCAAGCTATTGCGTTACATAAACCTATTCCGCGGGAGAACGGTCAGCGAGCGGGTTGGGTGGTTGGATGATCTCTTGTTGGATTTGCCCAAACGCCTCCAAGCTCCCATCAAGCATGTAGGCACCGTATCTCAATACGAATGGCGGCGGCGGCGGTGTGTATACATTACACAGGGGAAGGTCAATAAGACATCCATCCCCGCCGATGGTATTTATTTTCCAACAATCTTTCCACGTTGGGGCTGATTCCGACGGTTGGTAAATCGTTGAAAGGCGAAACGGGCACGCCAAGCCTTTCCACGAGCACGAAGCGTCGTTAGTCCTGGATCAGTCCGATTCTGTTATGTCCTTTCCAAAAGAACCGTGCGCCCAGGATGATGATGACCCTCCAAGGGACTTTGGGTTCATTACCCAGGGTAAGGTGCTGAGTGATTGCTCAAAGAGCAATACTCAGAATCGAATGGCTGCAATGCAATTTGGGACAACGATTGCAAAACCCCCTTCCCCCCCTCCATTTCGATACAAATTGCTTCCGCCCATCGCCAAACGCCTGCAGGAAATAATGCGGCCTGAGATGAGCCTTGCCGCTTTAAACCATTGCTCACCCATTGGGCGCTGAATGATGATTGCCCAGGCATCAATTTGGAATGCCCTCTTTGCTTTTGATCCATTGATGTGGCGTAGGTAGCCAGATCTTGATCTCTGGTTTCTTATTCGTCGTGACCAGGATGATTCAGCTCTGAGTTGCGGCGCCACTCCAACTCTCTCGGCATGCTGCCGCTGTTGTCCCTTTTCTCGGGCGGTGGAGACGGTTCCCTCGGCATGGTTTCTTTTTCGTCCGCCTCACTAAACATCCCGGGGAGCCAGCATTTTACGAGTTGGCCGAGGTTGTATTTTCAATGCTCGAGGGTTAACATGGGAACCTTGGTGAGCAAAGTGGAACAAGGTTACTCCAAGATACCATGTCAAGGAGGCCCAAAGTATAAACCTTCGTGAAATTTCGCAATGATTCATCTCCAGATCGACATATCCGCAGCGTAACCGGCAGGACTGAAAGCTCCTAATTCAAAGTACTTTCCACTAGACATTGCCGGCATTAGATGTATATGCTCGGCTTCTGTTCCGAAATCGTGAGGAAAGGTTCGCGAATCGGCTTTTGCACATTTGTGTTGGTGGACCGTATGTGCCACGCTCATGGGAATTGCAGCCAAGGTAGGAAGATACATGTATTGTCTCGTGTATTGCACTCAAGACCTTGTCTATTGATGTGTTGCGAAGTATTCGAATGAAGCTGAAGGTACAAGCCCTGAGTCGAGGGCCTGGACTTTTCGATTCAGCACCAGGACGTCCAGCAGGTTCCATCCATGCCAGCTATATACTTGGCCTCTAAGGGCTTGCAATAGCGTCAACCCCCTGCCATTTTGTAGGCGCCGGTGAGGCCTCCGACCAGAATCATCGTGCGCTTGCTCGTCACATCCGATACACTACTCATGTACAATTCCAGCACCGGCCATGCACGTTGACGTAGCAAGTTTGGCTCAATCGTCAAAGGCGGCTATTTGCTCTGCCTGATCTGCGGAGAAGAGAAGTGGCGGAGGCGACCGTCTATCTCTTGCTTAGCCGTGATTCACGTTCCCTCAAAGACTGAGCTCCCATTCAAGGACGGACAGTCATAGCCATTTGGGAGATGTGCCGATGGAATTTAGGGAGCTTCGAGAACCACGTGACGGCTCCATCATGCCTGACACAACAACCGTACATGATTAACGGCACCTTTTGGCTGTTGATTTCATCAACCAAGGTTTGAATAAACGTTGGGTTTCGACGCAAAGAGAAGAAAACATTCGAGGAGATTGGGAGGGCTTCTTCATGGTCGACGATGTATACTGGAGATAAGCACGCCTGCAAAATTGGCCTCGCACCACACGCTGTCTGCAACCACTTCGAAATCCGTCCAGTTAGCGGAGACGAGACCAGCAGAAATTGGAGACCGAGCAGTGAGAGTGAGAAGCGCAGAGCTAAGAGATGCGTGGGTACACACTCGTTATGGAAGGGACAGATGCTCTCGCATGACGAAATGGGTTCGGAAATCACCAAGGAAAGAAGTGCCCACCCTTCGAGCAATCCTGATTTATCGCTGCCCCGATATTTGGAAATTGGAGCAACCGGATGCCCAGCCTAGGGTGATTTTTCTTCAAAGGAATTAGCCCAGATGCTGTACCAACAAGTTGATGAGGGCATCTTTGCGAAGCTTGTGGGCTGCTGAACTTTTTGATAGCAGGGAGCAGCACTTGCATTCATGTTGGGATTTGGACGAGTCTGGACAGGGAAGCGGCAACTTGATAACTTGACATCTCAATTGCATCTCTAAGAGTTGAAGTCCATTCGCTGTATCAGAAAACTGAAGCCGGGGAGGAGAAATGAGCGAGGGGAATGATTGTGCTAGGTTTGACGAGGCCCGGTAGCGGAATACTTCGAAAAGGGGGCTCAGAACTAGGGTTATGGGAATGCGTGGTCACATGCCTGTCTATCCAATGTATACCGGAGGCAGCTGACCGATGAGTCCATTCACTGTCTTGCCATTTCAAACCAACTCACGACCACTTGCGATAAAGGATTCTCTATTTACGGGCTACCGATGGAATACAGGGAAGAGCTGGATTTGTCGACGAGACAAGACCGGTTCCAAAGCTTCTAGTGCAGTACGCTCCCACTGTGGCTGCCTACCGCACGGATCCCAGGCCCAGAAGCAGCTCTACAATGGGGCAAGCGGTGATTCATCGGGTACCAGACCAGCTGGAGGCATATGATCTTTGGGGACCGCTTTCCGGCCGCGATGGACATCCGGTGGCCGGTCCTGGTCTCAGCTCTGTTGCGTCTTTACCTCCCTTGCACGAGAAGGGAAAACAAACGGCGAAAATAGGCAAACATCGGCTATGAGCTGCCCTTGATGATGGAGCTGTTCGCCAAGCTGACATGGCATGCGGCAGTAGGTCGTTGTCGCACCTGTTCTCGTGATCACTAAAACGTGTCAGGCTTGGTCGGAGAAAAAGTCTAGGCTCGGGAAGCTTGGCCAACGCGATCCAAAGAGGGAAAAAAATCCCTACGCCAGCACCGGCCGAGCTGTCAGGCTAGTGGGGGGTTTTAGCTTCTCAAGCCACTACCCCAGGGCCCAGAGTCGGCGAAAATGTCCAATGTTGGGTATCATGGTGGAAGACGCGAGGCAACGAGGAGCGAGCAGAGTCCATGATTGGAACTGTAGCTAGCCGGGACTGTTGCATTGTGTGCCGGCGGGAGATGACAGCTGTATCCGACGCTGTATACGATCCAATTGGGAGAGGAAAGAGACAAGAGGTGGTTGTTTTCTTTTTACATCGAACCCCACACCACCTATTCTAGAGCATGAGACCCTGGTGAGAGGCGTGAATGGTGGTTGCGGAGATGACGCGGGGCTTGATGGGTAATGAGTCTCTGGCCAGTGGATGGGGGCACAGACTCTGGTCCCTGCCAATGCGATGCGGTCATGATCGGTGGCGTATCGAGATTGGCGGCAGCTTAATCTGTCTGTATGCGCATGTACCTCCCGTACATACGGCTGATGAGAAAACGTGGGAGATTATTGGTGTTTCTTGGACAAGATTGTGGGGAAGCAGAGACAACGTCAGACATCAGAGTGATGGACGTGGCAATGGCCGGCGGCGGGTTCCCAGACGGTCCTTAGACCTCGAGATTTTCGGCGCCGCTTACCGTGTTTGATCAGCCTCGCGAACCCCTCGCAGTAGCGCTCTCCACAGACCAGCGCTAATGATCAACACCGGCCAAGCGGGCATCATGGCCACCATTCATCCGTCTCCATTTTGAAAGGCTCTTCATTGCGGAGTCTCGGCGATGGCTTCTGAGATGGGAGATGGACGTCAGATGGAACCTGGGGCAGCCTCCCCTCTCGATGGGATATTAAAGGGCACAACCTCGACCTTGAAATCCGGGGTTGATCACTTCAATCATCACTTCCATCTTTAAGCAACACCTGAGCCAACCTGAGCGAGCAGAGCCAGCTTGTCTTCATTGTTGTTCAATCTCCATTCTCAAAACCACAAACACCAAAACACACATACCCAGTTGCTACAATGGCACCAGTCGCCACTGCCGATATCGTCGAGGATGTCCCCTCTGGCAAGGCCATGGACAGCGTCTCCGACGCCATTGACGAGGTAAACGTCATCAAGTATGACGAGGAGTCCAAGTTCGATTCCGAGAAGGACAAGAACACCTTCCGTCAGTACGAGGACGCCTGCGACCGCGTCAAGAACTTCTACAAGGAGCAGCACGAGAAGCAGACCGTGGCTTACAACCTTGCCGCCCGCAACCGCTTCTACAGCTCTTCTCGACCCCGCCCAAAGATGACCATCTGGGAGGCCATGGAGAAGCTCGACACGCTCGTCGACGAGTCCGACCCCGACACCTCTCTCTCTCAGATCGAGCATCTGCTCCAGTCCGCCGAGGCTATCCGACGAGACGGCAAGCCCCGATGGATGCAGCTGACCGGCCTGATCCACGACCTCGGCAAGCTTATGCTCTTCTTCCCCGAGCTCGAGACCCAGGGCCAGTGGGATGTCGTTGGTGACACCTTCCCCGTCGGCTGCGCTTTCGACAAGCGCATCATCCTCCCCGAGACCTTCGCCAAGAACCCCGACGTCAACGACCCCATCTACAGCACCGCGAATGGCATCTACACCCCCGGCTGCGGTCTCGACAACATCATGCTCAGCTGGGGCCACGACGAGTACCTCTACCACGTCGTCAAGGACCAGTCCACTCTCCCCGACGAGGCCCTGGCCATGATCCGCTACCACTCTTTCTACCCCTGGCACCGCGAGGGCGCCTACCACCAGTTCATGGTGGCCAAGGACCACGAGATGCTCAAGGCCGTCAAGGCATTCAACCCTTACGACCTGTACAGCAAGAGCGACGGTGTCCCCGACACCGCTACCCTCAAGCCCTACTACATGGAGCTGATCAACGAGTACTTCCCCAAGGGTGTCATCGAGTGGTAAACCGGTTTTGTGGGCGTCGATAAAAAAGAACAGCAAATAAGCGAGTGATATTCAGACATGATGATTGAATTTGGGCAATGAGATTGTATTTTTAGGCATATCAAATGAGATATAATCCAATACAATGACTACGATTGTTTTTTCTTTGTTACTTGTGCTGGCCCCCGTTATCTCTCAAAACACCACTTGATACACGTGCATGGGTCCGTGGGGCCGATTTGACCCTATCGCATGAAGGACCGTCACCCGTTTTCCACTGTAAATCGGGGCGTTGTGATAACAACACGTAAAGAATCGTATGTTGTAGGGTGCTGGGGTTCGAGAAATTCGGCGCGCTGAGAAGGGATGCGATGGTCGAATCCTGCCGACGCGAAGGGTCCTTTGTTGCGTGAGTAAAGCACCTTGTCACCTCACGCTGGGTTACACCGATATCACACTGCGACATGACTTAAGGCTGAGGCTTGACTTTGAACTAGCGGTCGCGATCCTCCTAGTGCCCTCCCAAAGATCGCCCAGGCCAATCAGCCTGGAGGATTTACGAAAACCAGTCCGGGAATTACGTTGTTAGCTGGAGCTTACATTGCGACTTTGTAATATGTCAACGGCGTGCCCTGGGAAAGGGGGGAAAGGCGGTGATGCTTGTGACATGAGACTCTCATGTCGATGTCGGATGTTGGCCGTCTTTTCCCCGAGAGAGAGGCCAGGCCCTGCAGAATAAGCAACACGGGACGCTCCTAGGCGAGCGGCATGAATGATTAACTGCCTGCAGGCCGAATTCCGAGCGCATGCACATGCAGGTGCCGTCACCCAATCCATGCCAGTCGGGTTGGGCTTGGCACGGACCCAGAAAAAAAACGCCGGCCGTGCACCTTGATAGCCAGGATGGACCTCTTTGTCCAGTCGCTCTATCTAAACACTTGTCGGGCAGGTTCGGGATGCCGTCTTAGCTATAGGTGAGAGGCTGGGACGAGTCATGAACCTTGCATGAAATCAAGGACCCGGCTCTGGTGTCGATTCGGAGGTGAGCGGGAGCTTGATCGATCCATGCCAACCAGCGAGTTCCGCGCCCGTTGGGGCAGCCTGCCAGAAGCCAGAGAAATGGCGTAAGTGTTGCACAAGAGGCATCCCTAATCAGCTCACACTTGCTGACCCCCCTTGTCCCTGTGTGCTGGCAGGTGATCCCGAATCTTCTCCTTATCCAGCCTCGATCCCCCCCCCCCTTGCTTCGCTCCCTCCTCTAAAACTGACTTTGTTTCTTCCTCGTCTTTGCCATTGAGCTCTACTTCCCCAGCCCAACAAAGATACGCGGCTTCAGCCCACTTGATAAGAGGTACCAGCAACCATGGACGCAACTCCCACCTTCCTCAACATCCCTGCTGAGATCCGCATGTTAATATACGACCTCCTGCTCGACAACAGCGGCCAGAAAACAATCGCCATACGGAACCAACGCCGAGAGAAGCCGAAGGAGGAGCCGGGGCGGCCCAAGGCTCTGCGCAGATCCAGCTACAATGTCCTGGAACGGACATTCTACTGCCAGGCCTACGAGGCCACCTACGGGCTCGCAAACAGCGCCGACCTGCACCCGGCCATCCTGGCTGTGAACCGCCGGGTCAGAGAAGAGGCTTCGCACCACCTGTACGGACGGCACGCCTTCCACTTCGGAGAGGACCTGGAGGCGGTGGGGCCGTTCATCGAGGACAAGACGTGGTGCACGCGGGCGCTGGTGAAGGACATCACGCTCCACAAGAGCGGTCTGGCATCAACGGCCAAGACGGACTCGTGCGACTGGGGTAGCATCTGCCGGTCGCTGAGCACGCTACCCCAGCTCAGAAAGCTTCGACTCGTTATCGAGGGAGGGCTCCCTCGGCGAGAATGGGAGGGGCCCCAGGAACTTAGCGTGTCCGATCTTCGGCTACTGTACGCGACACGGCACGAGGTCCTCGAATGGGTCAGGGACCTGGCTCAGGTCGGCACCCTCGAGGAGCTGGAGATCGTCGCCTCCAGGACCTGGGTGCCGACTCCCACCAACAACACGACCTTCATCTTCGCGGCCTTCTCGGCGTCGATTGAGACGTCCCTGATCGAGTTCCTGAACGAGCTGGATATACCCGCCGTAGCGGGCAAGGCGGAGTGAGCGCCGCGGGGGCGATGATGTGATGAGGTGACGTGAAGACGATATCAACTGCAGCTTAGCTGTTTAACATGATGTGGCGTTTTGGGTAGCATGAATTGCTTGCATCGTTCTCTGAGATTGGTCCTTGAAGTTGGGGTAGCATTTTTTTTTTTTTGGAGTTCTTGGGTAGCGATTGAATGTAGTATGTGATTTGGTAATAAAAAGGAGGGAGCTAATGGCTGTTTGTCCCAACGCAAGTGCAAATTCAAGTACACGAAGAATATGGGCAATTGGTTCTTGGTTTAAATTTCGTCAAAAAATTCCGGTGAATATGGTTGCTATCCAATCGATAAAGCGACCTCAACATCAATGATTTGCCCACCTGCATAATGATAAGACCTTATCGATAGCAAGCTAGAGAGGTAGGCATCTCCTGTCGCTATACAAGGCAAGAGTACGGTTTAGTCTCATCGGAGGCTATACGATTGCGATTGATGATCTCACCAGTCCATGTGCCTCCCGGCTACCCTTCTAGGATAACAATAGCCATCTCTTATTCCCTAGAACTCATCGTGGCTGGTTTACAAATTACAACGGTTCAACGGTTAGGTCTGTCTGCCATGCAAGAAGGTGGAGTGAATAGGTTCGCGCTCTGTTGATAGCGATAGGAGCTAACTAGCACGTGATACTGGCATGCGGGTACGGACCTACAGTGGTTGCGTGGTGTGGCTTTAGAGGCCAGGCACCCAAAGTACCGCTAACCAGGTGCCTAGAGGCCCTGGAGGCTGGAGCTGTCAACCGCCCGCTTACCGTCGTCACCACGCACAGCCACAAGCGCATGGGTTGACCTCTACCAAACTACTTCCCCCCCAGTCCTCCTCCAAGCATCGCATCTTCCTCGAGTCCCGCGCTCACCTTCGCACCCCCACAGTAGCCTGTCAATGTCCATGTAGGCGAGCGACTCAATCAGCTGGCCCGGAAGCTACAGAACTTGAGGTATCCCGCCGCCAGCTCCAAGCCGCATACGTTGCTCATTCACCACCCTGAGCAAGCTTCAAGATGACGACCCCAGCCCCCGTCGAGGACCAGGCCCGCCTGCTTGAAGATGCCTTGGTCGCAGTCCGCCAGCAGACCTCGCTCATGCGCAAATGCCTAGAAACCCCGGGGAAACTTATGGACGCCCTGAAATGCTGGCAAGTAGTCCCTCATTCTCTCGCAACCTGACTCGCTCCGATTCATGTCAGCGCTGGGTCAAGCTAACAGCTGTTATTACCTCAGTTCAACACTCGTTTCCGAACTACGGACTAGCAGCCTGGGACCGAAACAGTACTATGAGCTCTACATGGCCGTCTTTGACGCCTTGCGATACCTCTCCGTACATCTCCGCGAAAACCACCCGGTCAACCACCTCGCGGACCTCTACGAATTGGTCCAATATGCCGGCAATATCATTCCGCGACTCTATCTCATGATCACCGTGGGCACAGCCTACATGTCCATCGCAGATGCGCCCGTCAAGGAGCTGATGAAGGATATGATGGACATGAGCCGCGGTGTCCAGCACCCCATCCGCGGTTTGTTCCTGCGATACTATCTTTCCGGCCAGGCCCGGGATTTTCTGCCAACCGGAGAAGGCGATGGACCAGAGGGTAACTTGAGCGACTCAATCAACTTCATCCTCACCAACTTTGTCGAAATGAACAAGCTCTGGGTGCGCTTACAGCACCAGGGTCACTCCCGCGAGCGGGAAGCGAGGCTGCGGGAGCGGAAGGAGCTGCAGCTTTTGGTCGGCAGCAACATTGTGCGACTCAGCCAACTTGTTGATCTGACCACGTACAAGGCCAGCATATTGGATCCACTCCTGGAACAGGTGGTGCAGTGTCGGGACGTTTTGGCTCAAGAATATCTTTTGGAGGTCATCACGCAGGTTTTCCCTGATGAGTTTCACTTGCACACACTCGACCAGTTCCTGGGCGCCGTATCGCGCCTCAACCCCCACGTTAATGTCAAGGCCATCGTCATTGGGCTTATGGACCGCCTGTCGGAATATGCGGAACGCGAAGGACCCGGCGACAAGGAAGAAGACAAGGCAAAGGCAGAGTCGGAGGCTTTGGCTAATCTGCTTGAGAAGGTCAGGTTGCAGAAGGAGGCACCACCCCAAGCGCAAGCGCCAGCACCAACGCCAACGCCAAAGAAGACCGATTCAGAAGAGGAAGCTGGTGCTCCTGCGGATGAGAACGGTGAAACTAAGGATACGCCAGAGGAATCTGCAGCACCTGCTACGGAGGATGATGCCAGCACCATTGCCGAGCAATCTGCCCCGTCAGTAGCGGAAACCGAAGCGACTGCAGTAAACGGACAGGAAGCTGAACCAACCCCGAAGAATGTCCAGCTTTACGAAGTGTTCTTCGGTCAAGTCAAGAACCTGGTTGAAGCGCAGCATCTACCCATCCAGGACATCATCGCCCTGTTGGTATCTTTGTCGAACCTCGCTCTCAATATCTACCCCGAGCGATTGGACTATGTAGACCAGATTCTCGCCTACGCAACAACCAAAACCAAGGAGCACATGAACAGTGCCGACCTTCATTCCGCACCCGCACAGCAGAGCCTTCTTGCTCTTCTCCAAGGGCCATTGGGTCGATATGTCTCCATTTTTACTGCGCTTTCGCTCCCCACCTATGTCTCCTTATTCCAGTCCCAAACATACCCTACTCGCCGGGCTGTCGCTGGCGGCGTTGCTCGCGCGCTCTTGAAGAACCAGACCAAGATTTCCAAGCCTGAGCAATTGGAGAATGTGCTCGAGATTCTCAGCGTACTAATCAAGGAAGGCACACAAGCTCCTCAAACTTATCCCGGCGCACCTCCGAGACGGGCTGTCGAGACCGATGAAACGATGGAGGAGCAGGGATGGCTGGCGAGGATCGTTCACCTTCTTCAAGGCGAGAACAACGACACTCAGTACAAGTTGCTGCAGATGACACACAAGGCTTTTGCGGAAGGAATCGATCGCATCCGAACCACCACCCCTCCATTGATCACGGCCTCGTTGAAGCTGGCACGTCAGTTCAAGATTCGCGAACACCTCGAAGACAACTGGGAAACTCAAAGCAACTCCCTTTTCAAGTTCATCCATTCCGCCCTCAGTATTCTTTATACACGTGTAAATGGTGCCGGCGCCGCCGAGATGTCGCTCCGCCTCTTCTGCAATGCCGGTCAAACCGCCGACCTCACTGGATTTGAAGAGGTAGCTTACGAGTTTTTCGCCCAAGCCTTCACTGTATATGAGGAGGCTGTAACCGACTCCAAGGCGCAGTTCCAGGCCGTCTGCGTCATTGCCTCAGCCCTTCACCAGACCCGTAACTTTGGCAGGGAAAATTACGACACTCTCATCACCAAGTGCGCTCAGCACGGCAGCAAACTGCTCCGCAAACCAGACCAGTGCCGTGCCGTCTATTTGGCAAGTCACCTATGGTGGGCCACACCATCAGTTTCCAACGCGGAGACCGATGAGACAGAGGTTCGTCACATCCCATCCATTTACAGTATTGAAGTCTTGGCCAACTAACTCGTCCTAGCTCTACCGCGACGGCAAACGTGTCTTGGAATGTCTGCAGCGTGCTCTCCGAGTAGCCGACTCCTGCATGGAGACAGCCGCATCTATCGAGCTCTTTGTGGAGATCCTAGACCGCTACGTATACTACTTCGACCAGCAAAATGAATCCGTCAGCTCTTCCCTCCCCCCCCCCCAGCCTAGAAAGCAGCCCACCACTAACCCCAATCTACCAATTCTAGGTGACCACGAAATATCTCAACGGTCTCATTGAACTAATCCACTCTAACCTTAATGGCAACCAATATGACTCGGCTTCCGTCGAGAGTAGCCGCAAGCACTTCTTCCAGACCCTGGAGAACATCCGCAGTAGACAGTTTGAGGGCGTGGTTCTGGACGCGAACTGAGGGAGCATCTTGACTTATACCTTTTTTTCTCCATTCTGTCAAATCCACCGTCATCAATCAATTTCTGTTGCTCTTCGATCCCGATCACACCCGGTTTCCTCCCTCTGCAAGCTCAGCGTGTTACTTTTCACTTTTCCCCCCTGCCTATTGAAAGAATGTCTAGATAGTAGGACGGCATTTGGAATCACTAGTGAAGCCGTCGTAGATTGTTGTATATATGTATATTTGAAATCAGGGAAAAGAAAGACAGCCGAAAGGTTTAATCTCTGAGTACGAGACTGAGTATTGTGTACGTTTACGTGAATGCTAATCCATAACTTAAGAAAAGGGAGCGTATTTATAAGACATCATACGGCGAGAAATATCAGCAAGTAAGAGGAGAAAAAAGAAAGAGTCTGCAATTCATTTGTCTCCTACACGAACACGTGCTCCTGGTTTCTATCTAAAAGGTGGCTTTGAACAAACAGAAACATTAAGACAGTGATGGAGAAAATAGTATATGACAATAAGGAAAAAGACGAGGCCTTCGTTCGAGCCGCTAATATTTGAATGCCCTGTCAGGACTAACCCAAGACCAAGAAACCAGCAAAGAGATACGTCGGGACCCGCGTCACCTAGTTGAGGTGCCGAGTGCTGTGAGATACCAGAATGAAAACCAGTCCAGAAACGCCGTGCAAATGCGTTGCTCAACATCGGCGGGAAGCCCAAACCGAACGTTGTGTGCGTGAGTGTGTTGTGCTTGTGCGCTGCAGTAAAGTTTGCAGCACTCCCAAATAACCGCCACTTAGGGCCCATGGATTATCAAGAATCCAGCCTCCGGGACAGATATGGGGGGAAAGGAAATACAAAATCAAAATCATGTGCAAGATAAGACTGGGGAAACAGGCGGCTTGCAGGGGTTGATATCTTCATACGTCTCAAACATCGTACAGCTTCTATTACAATTCTTATGTCGTTAAGGACTCTGCTGCATTTCGAATGAGCCCTGCCGTCTTCTGGATGTAGCGCTCTGCCTCGCTCCAGTTCTTGTCGTCCACCATATCGCGGATGGCTGGGAAGAA